GAAAGTTTAAAGAAAATCTATCAGTAGGATCTCAAAATAATCGACTTTCGTCAAATATCGTTCCGAAACCGCCAATTTGAGATGTTTTCATGAGTTTGAAGTCATATCTCAGGTTTGGCACATAGAAATTCGCCCAAAATCGCACAAAATATCCGTCTCACAGCCGTACAACTATCTGGAAAGTTTAAAGAAAATCTATCAGTAGGATCTTGAAATATGTGCCTGCGTTCCGCTAGAACGCGCCAATTTGAGATATTTTCTTGTGTTTGAAGTCATATCTCAGGTTTGGCACATAGAAATTTGCCCAAAATCGCACAGAATATCCGTCTCACAGCCATACAACTATCTGGAAAGTTTAAAGAAAATTTATCAGTAGGATCTCGAAATATGTGCCTGCGTTCCGCTAGAAACCGCCATTTTGAGATATTTTCTTGTGTTTGAAGTCATATCTCAGGTTTGGCACATAGAAATTTGCCCAAAATCGCACAGAATATCCGTCTCATAGCCATACAACTATCTGGAAAGTTTAAAGAAAATTTATCAGTAGGATCTCGAAATATGTGCCTGCGTTCCGCTAGAAACCGCCATTTTGAGACATTTTCTTGTGTTTGAAGTCATATCTCAGGTTTGGCACATAGAAATTCGCCCAAAATCGCACAGAATATCCGTCTCACAACCATACAACTATCTGGAAAGTTTAAAGAAAATTTATCAGTAGGATCTTGAAATATGTGCCTGCGTTCCGCTAGAACGCGCCAATTTGAGATATTTTCTTGTGTTTGAAGTCATATCTCAGGTTTGGCACATAGAAATTTGCCCAAAATCGCACAGAATATCCGTCTCACAGCCATACAACTATCTGGAAAGTTTAAAGAAAATTTATCAGTAGGATCTCGAAATATGTGCCTGCGTTCCGCTAGAAACCGCCATTTTGAGATATTTTCTTGTGTTTGAAGTCATATCTCAGGTTTGGCACATAGAAATTTGCCCAAAATCGCACAGAATATCCGTCTCATAGCCATACAACTATCTGGAAAGTTTAAAGAAAATCTATCAGTAGGATCTCAAAATAATCAAATTTCGTCAAATATCGTTCCGAAACCGCCAATTTGAGATGTTTTCATGAGTTTGAAGTCATATCTCAAGTTTGGCACATAGAAATTCGCCCAAACATGCTCAGATTATCTGTCTCATAGCCATGCAACTATCTGGAAAATTTGAAGAAAATTTATCAGTAGGATCTCGAAATATGTGCCTGCGTTCCGCTAAAACGCGCCAATTTGAGATATTTTCTTGTGTTTGAAGTCATATCTCAGGTTTGGCACATAGAAATTCGCCCAAAATCGCACAAAATATCTGTCTCACAGCCATACAACTATCTGGAAAGTTTAAAGAAAATTTATCAGTAGGATCTCGAAATATGTGCCTGCGTTCCGCTAGAAACCGCCATTTTGAGATATTTTCTTGTGTTTGAAGTCATATCTCAGGTTTGGCACATAGAAATTTGCCCAAAATCGCACAAAATATCTGTCTCACAGCCATACAACTATCTGGAAAGTTTTAAAAAAATCTATCAGTAGGATCTCGAAATATGTGCCTGTGTTCCGCTAGAAACCGCCATTTTGAGATATTTTCTTGTGTTTGAAGTCATATCTCAGGTTTGGCACATAGACATTTGCCCAAAATCGCACAGAATATCCGTCTCATAGCCATACAACTATCTGGAAAGTTTAAAGAAAATTTATCAGTAGGATCTCGAAATATGTGCCTGCGTTCCGCTAGAAACCGCCATTTTGAGATATTTTCTTGTGTTTGAAGTCATATCTCAGGTTTGGCACATAGAAATTCGCCCAAAACCCCACAGAATATCCGTCTCACAGCCATACAACTATCTGGAAAGTTTAAAGAAAATTTATCAGTAGGATCTTGAAATATGTGCCTGCGTTCCGCTAGAACGCGCCAATTTGAGATATTTTCTTGTGTTTGAAGTCATATCTCAGGTTTGGCACATAGAAATTCGCCCAAAATCGCACAAAATATCCGTCTCACAGCCGTACAACTATCTGGAAAGTTTAAAGAAAATCTATCAGTAGGATCTTGAAATATGTGCCTGCGTTCCGCTAGAACGCGCCAATTTGAGATATTTTCTTGTGTTTGAAGTCATATCTCAGGTTTGGCACATAGAAATTTGCCCAAAATCGCACAGAATATCCGTCTCACAGCCATACAACTATCTGGAAAGTTTAAAGAAAATTTATCAGTAGGATCTCAAAATAATCGACTTTCGTCAAATATCGTTCCGAAACCGCCAATTTGAGATGTTTTCATGAGTTTGAAGTCATATCTCAGGTTTGGCACATAGAAATTCGCCCAAAATCGCACAAAATATCCGTCTCACAGCCGTACAACTATCTGGAAAGTTTAAAGAAAATCTATCAGTAGGATCTTGAAATATGTGCCTGCGTTCCGCTAGAACGCGCCAATTTGAGATATTTTCTTGTGTTTGAAGTCATATCTCAGGTTTGGCACATAGAAATTTGCCCAAAATCGCACAGAATATCCGTCTCACAGCCATACAACTATCTGGAAAGTTTAAAGAAAATTTATCAGTAGGATCTCGAAATATGTGCCTGCGTTCCGCTAGAAACCGCCATTTTGAGATATTTTCTTGTGTTTGAAGTCATATCTCAGGTTTGGCACATAGAAATTTGCCCAAAATCGCACAGAATATCCGTCTCATAGCCATACAACTATCTGGAAAGTTTAAAGAAAATTTATCAGTAGGATCTCGAAATATGTGCCTGCGTTCCGCTAGAAACCGCCATTTTGAGACATTTTCTTGTGTTTGAAGTCATATCTCAGGTTTGGCACATAGAAATTCGCCCAAAATCGCACAGAATATCCGTCTCACAACCATACAACTATCTGGAAAGTTTAAAGAAAATTTATCAGTAGGATCTTGAAATATGTGCCTGCGTTCCGCTAGAACGCGCCAATTTGAGATATTTTCTTGTGTTTGAAGTCATATCTCAGGTTTGGCACATAGAAATTTGCCCAAAATCGCACAGAATATCCGTCTCACAGCCATACAACTATCTGGAAAGTTTAAAGAAAATTTATCAGTAGGATCTCGAAATATGTGCCTGCGTTCCGCTAGAAACCGCCATTTTGAGATATTTTCTTGTGTTTGAAGTCATATCTCAGGTTTGGCACATAGAAATTCGCCCAAAACCCCACAGAATATCCGTCTCACAGCCATACAACTATCTGGAAAGTTTAAAGAAAATTTATCAGTAGGATCTTGAAATATGTGCCTGCGTTCCGCTAGAACGCGCCAATTTGAGATATTTTCTTGTGTTTGAAGTCATATCTCAGGTTTGGCACATAGAAATTCGCCCAAAATCGCACAAAATATCCGTCTCACAGCCGTACAACTATCTGGAAAGTTTAAAGAAAATCTATCAGTAGGATCTTGAAATATGTGCCTGCGTTCCGCTAGAACGCGCCAATTTGAGATATTTTCTTGTGTTTGAAGTCATATCTCAGGTTTGGCACATAGAAATTTGCCCAAAATCGCACAGAATATCCGTCTCACAGCCATACAACTATCTGGAAAGTTTAAAGAAAATTTATCAGTAGGATCTCAAAATAATCGACTTTCGTCAAATATCGTTCCGAAACCGCCAATTTGAGATGTTTTCATGAGTTTGAAGTCATATCTCAGGTTTGGCACATAGAAATTCGCCCAAAATCGCACAAAATATCCGTCTCACAGCCGTACAACTATCTGGAAAGTTTAAAGAAAATCTATCAGTAGGATCTTGAAATATGTGCCTGCGTTCCGCTAGAACGCGCCAATTTGAGATATTTTCTTGTGTTTGAAGTCATATCTCAGGTTTGGCACATAGAAATTTGCCCAAAATCGCACAGAATATCCGTCTCACAGCCATACAACTATCTGGAAAGTTTAAAGAAAATTTATCAGTAGGATCTCGAAATATGTGCCTGCGTTCCGCTAGAAACCGCCATTTTGAGATATTTTCTTGTGTTTGAAGTCATATCTCAGGTTTGGCACATAGAAATTTGCCCAAAATCGCACAGAATATCCGTCTCATAGCCATACAACTATCTGGAAAGTTTAAAGAAAATTTATCAGTAGGATCTCGAAATATGTGCCTGCGTTCCGCTAGAAACCGCCATTTTGAGACATTTTCTTGTGTTTGAAGTCATATCTCAGGTTTGGCACATAGAAATTCGCCCAAAATCGCACAGAATATCCGTCTCACAACCATACAACTATCTGGAAAGTTTAAAGAAAATTTATCAGTAGGATCTTGAAATATGTGCCTGCGTTCCGCTAGAACGCGCCAATTTGAGATATTTTCTTGTGTTTGAAGTCATATCTCAGGTTTGGCACATAGAAATTTGCCCAAAATCGCACAGAATATCCGTCTCACAGCCATACAACTATCTGGAAAGTTTAAAGAAAATTTATCAGTAGGATCTCGAAATATGTGCCTGCGTTCCGCTAGAAACCGCCATTTTGAGATATTTTCTTGTGTTTGAAGTCATATCTCAGGTTTGGCACATAGAAATTTGCCCAAAATCGCACAGAATATCCGTCTCATAGCCATACAACTATCTGGAAAGTTTAAAGAAAATTTATCAGTAGGATCTCAAGATAATTGACTTTCGTCAAATATTGTTCCGCGGAACAAATGGAACAGAAAGTCCAACTCCCCTCGAACTGAATTTTACACAATGACCGCTGACGCCAAACATAATTCACAGAGCGCGCTTTCTTTTATCCGATGCGCGCGCCCAAATTTTGTTTTGGCGCCAAGCTACAAGGCGGGCCTGCCCGGGCAAGTCCGGTTTGTGTACAAACTTAATGACCTTCCTCGAACAGCGTTACGTCACAGTGTAGTAGTGGCGGGAAGTTTAAACGTACTCTAAATGTACACGTCTTTACTTCTGCTCATGACATTTAACATTTTCAGTTCCTGACGGATGCTCTACCATGTGCCTTAATTGGAATGAACAATGGTTTAATGAAAACTTACATAGAATTCGTAGCTGATAGGCTGATGGTAGCTTTGGGACAACCTAAGGTGCGTACTTACATTTGTTATTGCTTGTAAAACTAAATTTTAGTAAAATTAGAGCGAAACGTGACAGCTGAAAATCAATTTCTATTTCTAATAATCCACAATTTTCAGATCTACCTGTCAGAAAACCCATTCCCATTCATGGAGAACATTTCCCTAGAAGGAAAGACGAACTTCTTCGAAAAGAGAGTCTCAGAATACCAGAAAAGTGGAGTCATGACCAACAACACCGGAGATCGACACACTTTCTGTATTGATGAAGATTTCTAGAGTCTAACTGATTAATTAGTTTTTAATTGACCATTCCCCATTACCTCCCGATCTGTCAGATTTGATAAAAATGTAGGTTTAATTAACCCGTAAATACCTTGAATCAGGCGACAGAACAACAAACAAGGATTTCGCCGTTTTGAGAATATTATGATGAACTTTTATAAACTGTAATTTTTAATCCCCCCTTGGCCTTGATCATCTGGATTCCATTAAATTTGTGGGTTAATCTCAATGAGGGTTATAAGGTAGCGGGCAGCCAATTAACGGCATAATTACCATTCTGTAGCCCCACTTTAGCTTGCAGGGGCGGCATTCTTACAAAGACCATGATCATCGGATCCGCAATACCGTGTAAATAAGTTATATTTCCCAGAACTGCTTCTTTGACTACTGGTCATAGAATTGATCGTAGTTGTTGATTGTTTGTGTTTATTTTTGCTGATAACTATTAGAAAGACCCTCTTCTAACTGGTAAAATGTAAATGTATTATTATTACATCACTGTTTCAAGGTGAATATGTGAATGATTCGTGACCCCTTTTTATTATGCGGGAAAAGCTGGAGTCCGCTGTTTTTAGTTCCAACTGCACTGCCTTCAAAATATCTTTGGCTGAACTTATATTAGATCTTACTTATCACAATTCAAGTTATCCATTTGGGCTGAGTGAATAGCTAGAGTCTATCACTAAATATTCGAATTTTGAAGGCAGTTCAGAAAACTTATTTAAATTTGTTACATTCTTACAGTTAGGTATGATATTTGAAATATTAAAGTATTATGTTGTACATTTCAAACCAAATTAACCTGTATTTCTTATCCTCGGCTTAGGCCATTATCCTTATCGCACCATGAAAACTCAGAAACATTTCCCAGCTCCAGCTAACAAATCTTCAAACACACCCCACTTCTCACATCCCCACTTTCACATTCCTACTTCTCACATCCCCACTTTCACATCCCCACTTTCACATCCCCACTTCTCACATCCCCACTTTCACATTCCTACTTCTCACATCCCCACTTTCACATTCCTACTTCTCAGGAATGTAAGAGAATTCACAAGTGCCAGGTAGAGTCAGGTGCGGTGCTGCTATAGATAGTGTAATAATACAACTAATATTACAACTTTAGAAATACTATCTGAAATAAATGGTTGAGCAGGTTAAAAGGGAGTTGGCTGGAGGTATGGTGGCTCCCCGCACGAGTTTCATGTCTATGATCGGTACGGGATCGGTACCGACAAGGTTGCTATTAATACTGCACCATGTTTTCGTATTCTGCATTGCAGTGTCATGATGGGCGCTGATAGTAGTTTGAATGAAGATTTTGCCTCATCGTCCGTATTTTGCAATGTTTAAAACAACATATTATATAGAAGGACTTTAAACTTTTGCCATGAAACTAGATGCTGTACTGATTTATCCATGATCCTGTCACGTGATACTGATTGGAGATTTGAGATGGTTTTGAAAATTCGGACACACCCAGACAGGGGGAGGGGGTGGTCCGAGAATCTATGATTTTGGCGGACTTTCCTAAGTAATTGGCCCCTATACTGCATTATAACTCTAAGAGAACTCTGTCGTACTCAGAGTTCAATTATTGGGTGCTTTTCTCTAAGTTAATAATCACAAAAGCAACATTTTATACTTGAAGGGATGATTAATAATAATGATAATCATAAACCATGTTAAACTTTGTCATACGTTGTATGACCCGCCGCGCACGAAGTGCGCGGCTCCCCCTGTAGCATGTAGCGTCGAAGACGCTACTATAGTGAAGCGACCGTGGGGGTCACCACGTGATACAAGTTAAACTAAGATGGTACTCGATTAACTTAAATAAAGGGCGTTGCCTTTTCACATATCCTTACCTGGGGACCCCAGGCTATTATGTTCATAAACATATAGAGATTCGGCGGAATGACAGCAGGACAGGCTGAGCGCCGCCCAGTCAACATATCCTAGATTAAGATACAGTAAAACCTCGCTATTACATATTATAACTGATAATAAAGTGTAGACGCCGTTAAATTCCTGATAAACAATAAAGAAAGTTAACTTAGATCATTACTTATATGTAGTTGTACTAATTATATCATATATATTTTACAGTAATTATTTTGTGACAATTGTGCATTGTGAGCTTTATTCTTTAAATTCTCTGACTAGTTTGTATATTGTAATAATGCAGTTGTTTTGACAAAAACTTTACTTCTAGTTCTATTGTTGTTGTCTAATGAGTAGCCATGTCAGTGTCACATTTGCAATAATCTTGTTTAAAGACACGCACAGAATTTCACGATCAGTGATCCATGCAACAAAACTAAACATTTTTTTATTTTCTTAATTTAAATTAATTAAATATAATTAATTAAATTAATAAATTCTATTTATCATCATCTTTTGATTTTATTATAAGATTTAATCTAAGGATATTCGATTAACGGTTACTGGGCGGCGCTAGCAGCCTGTCATTCCGCCAAACATAATTATAGCCTGGGGTCCCCAGGTAAATTAACGGGTGATAGATACTCGTAAAATATTTGTTTCAATTATTAGGGACCGTCGAGGAGTCCAACTCTGAACTCGGCGCGCGTCCGCGCGCGCGTCCTGGTAGGTTTGAGGTTATAAACCTTTGATTCACGAATCACGATATCAATCCTTCGCATCTCGCCGATCTGCATACGGCGACGTTAACGGGGTTGCAAATCACAGAACTGGCAGTGATATTTTTGATTTTGAAATAACGCTGATGATGATGAAGTTACGGTGACTCAATAGGTGAAACAATTACCTTTCTAGTGTAATTATAAATAGATTTGCGGAGTCGCGAGTGGCCTACTATTACCTGGGGACCTCAGACTATCAGTATCATGTTCATGAACATATGAACATGATAGAAATTCGGCGGAATGACAGGCTGAGCGCGGCCCAGTAATATTTACCTGGGGACCTCAGGCTATTATGTTCGGCGGAATGACAGGCTGAGCGCGGCCCAGTAAAGTAATATAAGGCCTACCAGTGATACGATATTGGTGCACCGTGCACTGTCATGCTAGGCATTGTTTTCTTTATAGAGGGAGACAATAGACTTGGGAAGTTTTTCAACTTATGCACATGAAGATTGAAGACTGGAACATTCTTTAGGATGATACTATGAACAGTTAATATTTGGTGTACATAGAAACCGGTCATAACAATGAGCTAAGTAATTTCTGTTGACTTTTATGACTGGCATAATCAATTACACCTTTGTCACCTTTGTAGCTTTGTGAATGAGAATTACGGAAGTCCTAAGTTACTTTTACACGAATTCTAAACACTTAATTTAAAATTCCACAACGGCAACGTAAATTTATTTAGAAAGCAATTAGCAATCATAAAATATCAATTCGAAGTGCGTGCAAATTACAATTTACGGGTGTTCAAAGAAAAACAAGTAACTGCACTTAGAAATTTTATTGGCGAAATGGAATTTCGCCAATAAAAATATAATAGAATTGGTAGATAGCCAGCTCGCTTATCACAGTAGTCTTTTTCTTGCCAGCAGTAGCCATGAAGAGAGCGATATTTTTTAGTTCACGAGTCCATTTATAATTGATGGGAACGAGTGCTTGATCGACTTGGTTAACAGCGAATATAACTCTTTTGCTAGCGGAATCTGCTGAGAGAGAGAGAGAGAGAGAGAGAGAGAGAGAGAGAGAGAGAGAGAGAGAGAGAGAGAGAGAGAGAGAGAGAGAGAGAGAGAGAGAGAGAGAGAGAGAGAGAGAGAGAGAGAGAGAGAGAGAGAGAGAGAGAGAGAGAGAGAGAGAGAGAGAGAGAGAGAGAGAGAGAGAGAGAGAGAGAGAGAGAGAGAGAGAGAGAGAGAGAGAGAGAGAGAGAGAGAGAGAGAGAGAGGAGAGGGAGAGAGAGAGAGAGAGAGAGAGAGAGAGAGGAGAGAGTGAGAGAGGGAGAGAGGAGAGAGAGAGAGAGAGAGAGAGAGAGAGAGAGAGAGAGAGAGAGAGAGAGAGAGAGAGAGAGAGAGAGAGAGAGAGAGAGAGAGAGAGAGAGAGAGAGAGAGAGAGAGAGAGAGAGAGAGAGAGAGAGAGAGAGAGAGAGAGAGAGAGAGAGAGAGAGAGAGAGAGAGAGAGAGAGAGAGAGAGAGAGAGAGAGAGAGAGAGAGAGAGAGAGAGAGAGAGAGAGAGAGAGAGAGAGAGAGAGAGAGAGAGAGAGAGAGAGAGAGAGAGAGAGAGAGAGAGAGAGAGAGAGAGAGAGAGAGAGAGAGTGAGAGAGTGAGAGAGGGAGAGAGAGAGAGAGAGAGTAATGCAATGTTGAGTTGTACTAATTATCTCTCCTGAAACAGTTGAATTAAACGTTTCTGATTAATTTCTATAACGGTAACTTAATGCTCATAGTCATAGCTAGGAATACGAGTTTAATGGCACGGTCCGTCGCGCTGTTTAAAACCAATTTCAATGTTGAATATGCACAGTGTTTGGCGTTGGTAATGGATATTTTAAAGTTTGTAGTTTTCTTAGTCTAAGGACTGTGAAGTGTGAACTTAAAAATGCCAATTTGATTTAATCGAATTCTGGATGGTCGTAGAGGACTCTTGTGGTTTGTTAATGCTATATTTCTTTTGTTTTACTACAGCATACTATGTCCCTAATTGCTGGTACCATCGACTGACCAGTGCCTCACTCACTAATACTCTAATACACCACGAAATATAAACGTGACAAGGACATGTTTTACCTTGCCGTGTCTGTGTATGATCATGATTCACGAAACTTTTACGTAGGTACATGATTCAACATATTTAATGTGGTTTTTAAATGAACAGCATCATGTTCGTTACGTACCTGGGAATTATGGGGACCCTAGGCTGATAGTGTTCATAAACACATATAGCTATACTTAATACTTATAGTTATTGAAGCTGCGGTGGAATGGCAGGCAGAGCGCCGCCCAGTAACATGTTCGTTATTTCTATCTATTATATTTAAAAAATGTTCTATTAGTATTCTATTTCAACTAGGAATAATCAACACAGCAACATTGTGAACCTCTAAGTCTATACTCACAGCTTTACCATCAGGATACAGCCTCTACTATGTGTTATGTACTACTACTACTAGCAGTGTAACAAGTTTTAAAATGATAGGTTAAAAGGTACTTCACGGCGTCTGATAAAACATTTGAAATAATGTTGATTTTCAAGAAAATTAAAAGCTTGTGATTGATCGATGAGCAGTCAGCATATCCCAAATTTATTACTATAAGGTTACATATTTGCAACTTTTACTATAAAATAATACCTCATGTGTACAGTAATAAAGTTAATGTTATAATCTCTATTAGTAGTAACAGGACCCGTTGATTGGTTTAACAATCCCTAGCTCCTTTGTCTACCCTAAGCCCTAAGGCCAGATTACCTATCCAAGATATTATGATGATGTTTGTTTTACTTAACCATCAGTTCCTATTGGGACCATGTTTACACAAAAGACCGTATCCACTATCCATCATCCAGTGTACTGTGTAGTGTGTATACACGGTCAAATTTCAGTTCCTAAATCATTGACGGATCTCTGTTTGGTAGACAGAACTAAATAAAGATATTTTAGAACGTCATCGACAATGTCAATAAGGTAATTATATTGTTATTGATGACCTCGTCTGCATGGTGTGATAGTACTAGTAGTAGCATAATAATAATAGGAAGTGGAACTACATTCCTATTCCTAATAATCATTGCTTACGTTACCAACAGGAATTTTAGCTGATCGTCATATTTTTTCCAGGGGCCATCAGATTGTGCTTCGTTGATTTGGACTTTCGACTTTTGATTTATTTACATACTTTAAAAGTTGTAATTGAATTATGAAGTTTGAGCATGAGTTGGAGTAGTATGTATATTTCTTTATTCATTACCGTTGCTGTTTTTCATATTTATGTTTTGATAGGGCAGAGCACGAAAGGTATTGATATTCTTATAGTTATAGCGATATATCGTAATTTATGTCCACAAAACCTGTCCAGAATTCCAACCTGATTGCAACCTTTTCCACGATTGTTATGTGTCGTACCGTACCTGTTCATTGAGTTTTTTAGACGGTATTAGAGAGCCGTTGCTGCTATTTGAGTATCTGACCTAAGATTATTGTCAATATGATTGTGAGTGTGAGTAATATCATGCTCACAGTCACGGTATCATATGAGACATTAACAGTAGCGGAGCTGCTTAGTAAGCAACTTACCATTACAGTTTCTGAACCGACCATAAAGTTGGACAAATTGAAACCATTTCAAAATTTACGAATCGCTAAAAAGTCCAGCTACCTGCTACATCCCCTTTTTCGCCTACGCTGTGTCAATCTAAGAAACTACCAAGCCCATAAAATGTTCGATAGAATCCCTTTTAATGTTAAAATATGTAGAATCAAAAATAGCTTCTTTTGTGACTGTCTCACAGCTAGACTCACAGTCAATCTAAATCGCATAATTTATACATCAACTAGTAGTGATACTACTCACCCCCCTTTTGAATATTCATACCATCTTAGCTGTCCCACTGCTAAACCAAAGACATATCTTTAGTATATAAGATTAAGACGGTGCATTTCTGGGGTTCGTTGTAGAATAGGGTATACTTTGTCAAATTGACGAGTAGGTCTTTATAATACCCCTGTAATACCTTAATCTTGATTAACCTTTGTTGACTCGTTTAATTACACTATCATAGTTAGAGCTCACAAGTTTTGTTGCCATTTTTACCGACGCTTCACTGGTGTTTTGTTCGCCGTTTCTTACGCCGTTTCTTAATCCGTGTTATTAATCATAGTACAGTTATACTTTTGACTTCTGAGTCGTATAAAACTAAAAGAATGTCGCAATCAATCGAGTTTTTATATTGTGTATTTGATCACAGACAACATTAGTCCTGTTGTCAAGAATTTTAATTAATTTAGAAAAACGTGTCAGATTAATGATTTTTGACTAAGAAAATTATCAATGAGTCTCATTTATAATTATAAATAATTATGAGCGTCCAGTATAGTAGTAGTACCTGTAACCTGTACATTATTTACTGGGCGGCACTCAGCCTGTCATTCCGCCGAATCTCTATGTTTATGAACATTATACTTATAGCCTGGGGTCCCCAGGTAAGTACATTATCAGGTTGTTGCAATAGAGACATTGTAGACACTTACTTTTCTTTGGAAATAGCAATTGTAGACACTTACTTTTCTTTGGAAAGGTATAAATAGTCGAAGCGCGTTTCTAAGTAAATAGTGACGAGGTTTCTCCGTAAATATTAACTACACTATACTCATGTGCCTAAATTATGTATAGTAAATTCACGGGTATAAAAGATTAAAGAACTGGCCGCTACTATGGTGGTGATATCTTATCATGCATTATTATATTGAAATTATCACTTCAAAGGCAGTTTATATTATTGTTGATACTAAGATTAGAACTTTAAAATTACACTGACCAACACATCGTTTACTCAAAATTATATTATTAACAATGATTTAAACAATGCATACAGAACAAAGTGTTGAAAGTATTAAACATGAATATAATTTGAGAACATGGAAAGGGCACACTTAGTTACACTGTAAGGTTACCTTCCTGAAATGAGCAAACATTTTCCTTTGCCCATCTTGTCTGCATAAACAGTCTAGGTATCTGAGATATGTTTATAAAGGGAAAAGTTAGAGGCGGACGGAATAGTAATGGACCAATAATATGGGAGACCTCTAATCCGGCAGCTTTCCGTCCGTAGTCGTCGGATCACCTTAACAAGTTCTCAAATCTCTCCTATCTCATTATAGTGACACAAACTCAATGCGTAAAACTTGGCCCAATTATATTAAAGTCATTATGGAGCCCCCTCCCCCTCACAGGTAATAGGGCCCCCATGCCATAAAAAATTTCATTCAGATCGAGAGATTCTCTAAGGTTGGATGGAGGTCGCTACTCGCTACTTTGAAAGCAATACTGTCTCGGTTAGGCGTGAGTTGTTTGGGACAACTCCTGAACACTCCTAGTCCTGAGAATCTCATTGAATTTTGTAACCAGCACATTGCTACTGCTTATATGACGTCACAGTTTGGTATGCAGATGCTACAGTTAGTCACAATTAGCAAGTTTATCCTTTGTTACCCCCTTTTGTATGAATAACAAGCTCACACGCTCCAATACTTACGCCCTTCGCCATGGATATTGTTTTTAGCTTTTACCTGCACTTGCTTCAGGAGTTGTGGATTGATCGCATCATAAACACTTCCGGCCCTATCTAATTTCTGTTGTTTTTGTTTCTGAAATGGTAATATCAAGTAACTAGTTGAGTAGTATGGTACACAGACCGTGTTTCTGCAGTTCCTGCATTGTTCAGTGTCCACAACATACAGTATGCATACAGATCGGTACACCTAACTTCCTCAACCTCACTTCCTGATCCTCTTAAAAGTTACAAAAGATGTTTAATAACTTTTGCTTCTTAAACTGTAACACGAACGCATGGCCATTATTTATATCTCTGTTTTGTTTCTGTCTCTGTTTTAGACTATCAAACCTATTTCTGTCTAATCGTAGATAGACTCCCACCTACCGGCTACTGTGTCCTAGCTGTGCTCCCCGGACCTCATGCGAACATGTACTGACAACAGAGTTAGATACTCTTATTGTTTAGCTACTAGTTTACGTAGATCGAAGCGTTACAAACTGCATCTTTTGTTTATTCCAGAGTGGAGGGGAAGGGTGGGGGTCATTTCTCTATCATGTACCTATCTTATGCAGAACACATTAATTGCTTTGTTTCGTGGAATTCGTGAGTTAACATTGGAGTATGAATTGTCACAATGTATAATGTATATTGATGTTTTCGGTTTTTGTTAGATTGCACTCAAATTATCTTTTCCCTCGAGCCATCTCTTTCTTCATTTTTATCTCTAAATGTCACGTGTGGATTGAACAATGAATCCTTCCGTGCTATTCAGTGTTGCTCAAAGATCCAATGGCACCACTGACAACTTGCAGTACATCGGATCCACAGACACCACCCTTATCGATTATTAGTAGTGGAGCTATAACGAATGCATCGAATGGCGTCATTTAGGTGGCATTCCAATGTATAAATGGCACTTTACCATTCCATGTTACCCGAGGGCTATAACTAAAATCGTTCAGGTGGTTCGAAATAAGATTTGAAGCCGAGAAGATTTTCGAAAGGTGACTGTTCAACTTGTAAAAAACATTATTTGGCACGGATCACGGTAAACTTATGTTTTTCAACTGCATGTTTTGATATTTATTTGATAATCTTCAGGCTAGTTCAATGATCAAAACGATTAGTAAGACGGAAGCAAGATTTTGAAATATGTAACGACACTGCAGTAGATTTTATACGCATTTTCATCTAGCAGTGATGACTGTTCGATCTTTGACAGAGCTAATTTTCCTCCTTATGTTCGTCACAGTGAATACTGTAAGTAATGTTTGTTTGGTATACGCTATGGGATATTATTTTGGCAGACATTTATTTATTGCGGCTCGCAGTTAAAATAAACTAAAATTTACAAACATTAATATTATCAACCTCCAGGAACTACCCTCTGAATCCTACGGCAAATGCAAGGTTCTCCCAGACCCCATAGCTTTACATCCCAGGTAATTCAAAGTGTTAGTCGTGACTTTACCGCAGCTCACTTACTCATTTTCATTTGTCCTCAGTTTTTTCTATTTAGTTTTGATATATTCAGGAGTGCCCATTGGGGTCTTCATTTTTAACTTATTATGATTGTAATCAATAAATTAGTCCATTAGAGACAACCCCCGAGGGGCTTTCAGTCAATCACATATCTATTGCGGCTTTATAAATAAACCATTATGACAGGTTCAGATACTTGGATAATTGTATCTGAAAAAATGAAAGCTTGATATAATTAGCTTAATAAAATTATTTAATAATATTATTAAGCTAATTAATTGTGGGTATCCCAGGTTTGGTCACAATGTAAGAGCAGGGAAATTGTCATTATCACGTGAAGGAGACAACATTGTTGTACGAACGATCTGCGACAACGAACAAGGATTCGTCCTTCTTGATAACCGCTTTAAAGAAATGAGGTCAGCTTAAAATCTTAAAGCATTTAAACATTTACCGTGTTCCCCGTAATTAAATTCTCACGTCACTGAACGTCAGAATCCCAAGTTTCATAAGATATTACCAACGTTTCAGACACACTCCAAACGTAATCAGTATTTTTACAATATCTTTAAAGTCCTTGCAATTATTCGTAAAGTACAAAATAACACTACAGGTGTTTCTATGATGAGTTGAGAGGGAGGTGGACCTGGGACCACTATCACCAAGACAAAACATCTCCTCCAACCATCAGATGTGCTCGTAAGAACATGATACCTACTTCAAATTACTTTGGTTCAATCTCCAGAGCATTGTGATCATAATTGTATGTTCTTCTAACATTCTGACATAAATTCAGTCTAAAATCTTTGCAGATGTGTCTCCGAAGCCTCTACTCCAACGGTTCAGACTTGGTCCTGAATTCAATGGTTGTGCGGACCAGCACTCGAAAGAGAAGGTGCTCTCTACCTTCAAAGAGAAACTCTCCATATCCCTACCCTGTGTACTAGCTGACGAGTGTATTATAAGTGGTCTGTCTTGTCAAGCTACGGAGACAAACACGGTGCTGTCGGTCAAAGTGACATCCAGATCCATGCAACATGTTATGAAACAGAGGCTCATTCTGGAGACAGCAGTTGATTATCTCAACTCTTATCCACTTCATTCGATTCTTAACGGTCCATCGGTATGTTAATATTACAAATCTGTTGTCATATTTCATATTCGCGAGGGTATCCACGTTTGATAATTTGTTTCAATTCGAATTCATCTCAATTCTAATATAAGTACTCATTTTGAGCCAGTTTGATGAATGCACGTCTTATAATGTTTAATTTCAGGAGGGACACAGTCGTAAGAAGCGTTTTGACGCGGGAGATTTCGAAAATGCTGAAACTGAAGACGTTGTGCAGGAGGGTTGTGAAAATGATCAGATCCAAAACTCTGACGAAACCTGTACCACGTGCACAGCAGGAACCTACGCTAACACGGCAGATGAAGATGCCCAAGTTTGTACTTCTTGCGCCCTTGACACATACAGTGCTGATGAAGCAACAGAATGTACAGCATGCGGTACAGGACTGGGTACCTTGGAAATAGGGTCGGACACTGCTGAGGATTGTATTGGTATGTACTCATCTTCTCCTCATCATGTTGCCTTACATCAGAATAACAGGGGTGTCTGAAATTTATCTCGACAAACTAAATTTTGTAACGCACGTTATTTGGTGTGGATAGACAGTGAGACACGCAATATTTGTAGAGTTATAACACGAAACATTTGTAGAGTTATAACACGAAATATTTCAGCTGTCTGCACGGTGCCTAGTATGGAGTTTGTAGCCGCAACGTCTCCTGAGCATCGAGTAAGAGAAGAAGGGGGTGTTATAATAGTTTGTGATGGAGGTTATCAATACGGAAATTCTGCCATGACAACTGTAACTTGCTCAAGTTCAACCAACAACTTCCCTGTTTCCTGTCGAAGTGAGTTTGAGTTAGGCTTCCTTGTTAGCTTGTTACTTGTTAGAGAGTGAGAACCTTGTCTTCAAAGGAATTTGTAACGAGAACTTTACAGATCAACGATACAATTTAAGCTTCCTCTTATTTTTGTATTTCAGAGTTGACAATGTCCTCACCTGCACCGTCGGTAAAGTCCGGTGATGCTGGACATCTCACTTGTACTGTTGAAACTAGTGACGTTGGAGTTGCTATCCAGTGGTTTAAAGGCGACTCAGATACCCCTCTACCAAGTGACGATACCACTTATACCATATCAACTGCACTGGCCACCTCCTTTGAAGCCGATGGGATAACAAAAAGGTCGACGTCCGATCTGATTGTTCTAAGTTTTGATGCTACTGACGTTGGGTACTACTCATGTAGAGTTGATTATGCTGATCCGATTCTAGATGATTCTTCTACTGAAACTACCTTGAACATCCTTGGTAAAACATTATATTGAATACATTCTGATTCATCTGCCAAAGTCATTTGGCAGATAAATATCCATCATGACTCATGAGCTAAAATCGATACAAAACAACAAAATTTGAAAGTTTTCTTACTACTAAGTTGTTATGATCAAGAACATATTCTTACCAAATAAATTACGAAATTTTGTCGTCATGTTAATCTCAGCTCCGTTCAGATTTAGTGGTGACCCCTACAGAAGCCCAGATCGTATCTGTCACTCAAACTCTTCAGATGTCTTGTTCGTTGAATTTAGATCCAACTTATACTTCCAGGACCGTGAAATGGAAACTAAATGATGCCGATGTTCGTACTGCTTTATTTCTTTGATTATGTTAATGTAGTGGGTATTAGAAACCGACCGGAATGGGCTTTTGGCTGCCGGACCGGCTTGGCTTAGCGGTTTTCCGAATTCTTAAAAAAAAATGTTTTTCTGGAAACCACTTTTCTCCAGTCTCCACGTTTCATGCTACACTGTTCATTATTAGCAGAAAATATTTGTTCGGTTTTCCGAAGTCCGCATTTACCCCTCGATACACAATTTTGGACTCAAGGCTTCCCCTTGTAATGTGATCTCAGAAGTCAGGCCTCCCCTTTGCAAAACGAGCTCGGAAGCGGGAGCTCTGCCCTCAAAGGTACGTATCGACTTCGAGAATGACTCGGACCAAAAATTTTCGGCATTATGGAAAATTAATTCGAAAAAATGGTTAAGTTTTTTCGAATTAGTTTTCCATAATTTATATATAATTACCTAAACATAAAATACAATATTTACAGCAAATACTTGGAATGCTAAAAACGAGACATTATACGGTTCTGAGATAGTTTATCAATGGATGAGCTCGAAAAAGCAGTCATGGCGTAATATTTTCTTTTCGTTAAAACGTGACATCATGATTACTACTTGCCGGCTACAACACATGCCAAACGTCAACAACAAATCGGTCATATTTCCTTTAAATTTAATTGAGCTGTACGCGGAATTTAAGAATTCGCGGAACTTATGCAACCCAAAACTAAGCAGTTTTGGCTCCAAATCTGCTCGGTAACCAAAAATTCGTGAGTCAAAATATAATGTCATAATGTGAGGTACGGGAAATAAAAAATAATTCAAAAAAAGGAATGAGTGCGGCCGCGGTTGGTCCGAATCAGCTAATATTGATATTGTTTAGATAACCGGGTTAGCATCTTTGATTCTTTAGTCTCTGAACAATTAGACCAAAAACCACATTCAAAGACTGAGGAATCAGGAGGACTCTGCAACCCAGAAATCAACTACTTAATTATCATCGCTCAATTATATCGACGTTACATACTTTGATTTTCCGACTTTAATGCTGATTTAAGAAACCAGGAAATTCATTTTACTTTCCTAAAATTAAATCGTTGATTTTATTTCAATATCCCTTTTTTTTCAAAACATATGCAGAAATTTGGAGATTTAAATTTTGGAAGCATGTAGGGATCGAGATCTGATATCGATCGTAAATACTAAAAATACTCTAGCACAATAATTGTAACTGCAGTTTTACAGAACTCTAAATGCTTAATGAACACACTTGCAGATACCACTCGTATTCACACTCAGAATTGAGTTAAGTTATTTTCCAATACGAGATTGGGGACGGGTTCTATAAACAAACATACAAAGTCACAAATTTAAAAAAATGTTTTTCTCCACGTTTCATACTACCCTGTTCATTATTAGCCGAAAATATTTTTCGGTTGCCCTAACGTAACACCTGCCCCTTGATACACAATTTTGGACTCGAAGCTTCCTCCTTTACTTGTAATGCGATCTCGGAAGGCAGGCATCCCTTTTCCAAAAAGAGCTCGGAAGTGGGAGCTCTGCCCTTGCAGAGGTACGTATGTAATCATTTTTTAAGGATTTGAGTCAAAATTTGACGAAAACTATGCATTTCAAGATTTTAGGAACACATTTTTTTGAAGAAATATCCGGCAAAAATCCGGCAAAATTTTCGAAAACCGGACTGGAACCGGAACTGGATATTGAAGCCGGATATCCGGCTGGAACAGCGGATTCAGCCGGATATCCGGTCGGTTCCTAGTGAGTATAATCAATAATGTACAATTATACGTGGTTACCGTAACTTGTTAAAGTGTAAAAACTAGGTTTATAGCCTGCAGTATGTTGTTCATAACATTTATCCTGCACTAGGTTAACTCTGGTATCAGCACCTCTAGTCTCTACCTCCAGCACGTTCTACACTAACATAACATTTATCCTGCACTAGGTTAACTCTGGTATCAGCACCTCTACCTCCAGTACATTCTACACTAGCACCCTCTCCCTCGTAACTGTAACTTTGTCTGATATTGGAACTTACAGCTGCATCGCCACATACACACCCAGTGATGGATCCAACCCTTTTGTTTTGAGTGGAACTGTTGAGGTGGCTGTGAGAGGATTTGAGACCCATCCTGCTGATCATACAGCAGATCAAGGGTCGGATGTGGCGATGAGTTGTGTGGTTGTCGGTGATCAGAGGGCCAGCATCTCTTGGTGAGTACATCACGACACTTCCATGCGTGTTTCTCATTATCACACCGGCTAGTTCACCCAGGAAACTAACTTTACCTCTACTCAGGACAAAATTTACCCAGGAAACTAACTTTAACTCTACACAGGACACAAGATTCGAAGGACTTATCAGGTGACGAGGATGTATACGATGAGCCCAACAAGAAGACCACAAGCACACTGACTATCATATCAGCAGTAGCAGATAATACGGGGGTGTATAAGTGTAGGGCTGACTTTGGGGGGACTGTTGTTGAGAGCGACACTGCTACTCTCACTGTCATTGGTAAGGACGCAGTTGAGAAACGAAAATATGTTATACGATAGTAACTCGCAGTTGAAATAGCTAAATTATCTTCTTTTCTTTTGTGGTCGCCGGTTTCTTATGCCAGGTTGGCCCCCTAGAGGAACTATTAAATATTTAACCTGTCTAGCTGCCCTTAAAGGGCTATACCACATATTCTCATTATTTCTTATTTTCATTCTCGTCTTCTCTTTCTTACCCATCAAAATCTTTAACCTATTCCACATACTAATCATCATCCTTTCAGATATTGGCATTATTGAAGACCCCACCAACGCAGCGTACTTAGTAGGTGAGGATGCTGTTCTATCCTGTACAATAAGGAACCCAGCCAGCTCCACCCTTACAGTTACCTGGTACAGGGCTGTTGGTCAGACTGACACTCCCCTGGATCTGTCCCTCTTCAACTTTGATTATGCTAACCCTGCAACTTCAACCCTCACGTTTTCTTCGTGAGTTTTATAATTCTTTTTTTTCTTCATAAGTTTAATGATAAATAACATGATAATGGTCGATTTCATAAAGATTTTATTCAAATTGCTCCGGAATTTATTTTTCTTCGAGAAAGTACATTCGAGAAAGTACAATTTTGTTAAACCACTGTATTTTCTTAACTGAACGATCGGATAGCGACTACATTTGAACACTCCTTGTACTTAACAGAGCGACAATGGATAAATCAGGTGTTTACAAATGCGAGGCTGTTTATGTGATTAGTGAGCAGACTTTCACCCAAACGAGTGGAACTGCTTCTCTACAGATCAGAGGTTCGTTCAGGGTGCGAGTAGGTTATAAGCTTTGATACTCCGTGAAAAGATGTTAGAAAATTGCATATTATTGTCCACCATTTTTATTTGGATATGCACATAAATTATACATCTTACACATGAGATCAGCTCCACAATCATACTTGTAAAAAATCACCATATTACCCTTCACAGAGCTGTCGAAAACACTAAACGAGTACACGGCTGCAAATTCCTTGGGTGGATCACAAAAATTTACTTGTGAGTACCATGGAGACGATGATGTGGATAGTGTCACGTGGGTTTACAATGAGGGAGCTCTGCCGGCTGGTTATTCTGTAACTCAGGTAGAGCAATGGTTGTTATCTTCAGAATCTGAAGTAGTCGTTGTCATAAGATCTGACAATTTGTATGATTATTTGTTATCTTCATGGCCCACTTCTTGATCAATACGAAAACCTCTGAATTAATTTGTGTAATAAAAAGAGTACATTTTTAGTTAAATTTCAATGTCTTAGGGCAGTTACGGAGGAAATACGGAGAAATGGGAAACAGTTTTAACAGTAAACCCGATTTTAAAGTCCAGTGGGGGAGCAATTAAATGTGCTTTCTCATTCTCAGTAACTGGCCAGGACATCGATTCTACCACAACCTTTAGGGTTCGATGTGAGTTAAATTAATGATTAGTTGCAATTCAGTTCTAACAAATTGATTGAACAATCCCTCACATATTGACGTCAACTCATCTTAAGAAGGCTTGACAGCTCCGGAGGGGCTTTTGAACAGTAAAAGTGATAGTTTGTAAGTAACAATAACATCAGCTTTTAAAACAACAAACCGTCTTCAGCTTAGCAGCTCCTTCTTATTTCAGCTGTGGATCCTCTGGACGCGGAGGTTTTCTCTAGTTTAGAATCGTACACTGTTACCTGTACCTACAAGGGAAATGATGAGCCCTCTGTGTTGTGGGTGGTAGCTGGATCAATCGTATCTGAATCTGATGAGGGAATATCTATAAATACCGGATCTGTGAACCACGACACGAATGAAAGGTATGATTTTCAATTGAACGTGATTCGTGAGTCACACAATAATTTAATTATCCAGCTGTCATTTGTCGAGTGAGAACTTGATACTGTTGACAAATATTTCTTTTAAAATGTATCAAACATAATATCCAGGAACGATCAGCTGATCGTCTCGGGACGACTTTATTCAGATGCCAGCAAACCAATCACCTGCAAATACATGTTCAAGGACCCCACGGCAGAACTAACATCTTACACTGTGTTGAAGTTCAGAGGTTTGTTCGAAATGTTTACAATGTTATGGTTTTATTAACAAGGGATGAGAAGTGGTAGGATTACCTTTTAGATCTTGCAGAAAGATGTCAATTCGTCCAGACAAATAATCAACAATTTTTGAAATAATCAGTGATACAATTTTAAAATCAAATGGTTGCCGGCCGCTTAAAAAAGAATAGTTGTTTACAATTGAAATAACAGACGAAAATACAGAACTGCAATACACCTGATAAGTCATCACGTGACACTGCAGTCTCAATAAACACCTCCATAACATCTACAAATCGAACACTAGTGCATATTGCATGTCTTATGTGCGGCGGCGAAGAGGAGTCTGTCCCACACTTCGTCGGACAGTGTCCAGCTGTTGCACAGCTGAGGGGGCAGTAATTTCAGGACTACTACCTCTCCGTCAACGACATATTCTACAACCAACACATTACTACTATTGTAAATTTCGCTAACCACACCAAACGCTTATTAGTGCCAGAGGAACAAGACCAAACAGGAGTGACTTAAAATTATCACACACGCGGTCCAAGTCACCCTTTCTGGTCATCATATTAATAAACACTAATACATCTTCATATCACGTTATCCCATCACCACCTTTACACATCCACCCATTTTACCCCGGTATCCATCAGGGATACTACACCTAGACGCAGGCAATGCATCTTTATGTTATCCTCTCGTCGCCCACCAGGTCCAGCCTCTCTTCAAAAATGAAATGCAGGTGATTTTAAGACAGTTATTTTCAGGTTTGACGAGCGGGTTGAACTCAAAATACTACTCGAGTGGAGCAGCCGTCATAATGCAGTGTGGACTTGGAGTTGGTTCAGAAGGTGCTGCGCCTAGATCTACCTTCTGGTACGTACAAAGTTGTTATTGACAAACAGTTATATAGTTCGTCATAAAGGTGAATCATAAATGAAAAGTATTGGGAAACTTATGAGTAACAACATAATCCATATAATTTATCATCGATCCATAATTCCTTATACCTCAGGTACAATATGGACGTAGATGCCAATGACCCCCTAGTTACGGGCTCTACTTACAAGGTAACAACAGATACCGAGGTAAACAACGGACTCTTCAAGACCACACTGACCATCAAAGAAGAGGGAATCACCACATCAAATGCTGGGGTCTACATGTGTATGTTCTCTGTATCTGATAGTGAGAGTTATGCATCTAAAGGCAGACTTATAGTGGGGCTTGTTCGCACACTTCCTTCCGAAGACAGGGTATATAGTTACGCTAATGCAGGGTTGCAGCTCAGTTGTATCCTGGATGCGAGTGATGAGGAGTCTGCTATAACATGGTCAGGTCCTGATGGAAAGATAGACCCTTCGCAGTATAGTAGTGACCAGGACGACCCCAACACTCACATTCTGACCCTGTCAAGCCAAGCTTCCAGTGGTGAATACAGGTGCTCGTTTGCTTTATCTGAGGGAAATGTACCTGAGGGTATTTTCCCTGATGTGAACTTGAACCTGGTAGAGATGGTAAGCTCAGCTGCTCTTTACAGCACTTACGGAGCCGGACTTTCTGTCACACTCACCTGCCAAGTTACCTCTCCCAGAGAAGTTGATCTCTACTTCCACGATGGTTCCAAAGACATGAGTCCAACAAATTCATATTATGAAGATGGTAGGACAGTCGGAGAGTATGTCATCACCATTGACTCCTCAAACAAAGAAGGTATTTTCCAGTGCAAGAAAAGCGCAACAGAGTTCAGCCCGACCTCAAGTACCCTTACAGTGTTCTGGATAACAGAGCCACTGACTTCACCAACTCGGGGTAACATTGGAACAGCTGTAACCTTTACTTGTACCGCTCAGTTCCATGCAGATCTGACTGTTCCTGAAGTATCATGGCTGAATGGAGACAGTGCAACTCAAGAGACACCTGAGGCTTTGGTGGTAGCAGAAGATAGCTCTACCATTCAGAGCAAATTGCCCATCACCATATCCCTGGAAAACGACAACAGTGTTTACAAATGTGTCATTACTTACAGCGGGCTTGCTACTCACGCTGGGAAATCCCTGGAAACTTCAACAATCGTCATAATGAACAGTAGGTTAATTATAGCTTTATAGATGTGGATACTGGTGGGGAGGTGAAACACATTTGTTTACTTTAATAGTAAGCACATGTTCAGCGGGTTGAGGAGGTGAAACACATTTGTTTACATTTTTAGGGTAAGCACATGTTCAGCGGGTTGAAGAGATGATACACATTTTGTATTATAGAAGGCTTGTAACACTTGTAACGCTTTCTTGTTACCCCCCTTTGAAGGCCCCGAATTATTTTCTGAACGAAAGCTCAAAAATAACCGAGAAATCGACCTTCTTATTAACTCATTTTGATGACTGTTTCTGACCTAAAATTGCACGAAAAATCGATTTAGCTAGGTTTCAGAACCTATAAACACTTCCTTATCCGTCAAAATTGATGTTTTATAGTTGATACGAGCAACAAGCAACATATGTTTTGATCCTTCGGTTCTACTCATGACCTAGGCAGTTAAGCTGAACCCGACAGATCGAGGCAATCCTCACCTTAACTGATCAAACTGGTACTAATTACACACTTTTCAGATATAAATGTTCTTTGCGATACGCTTATTGCAGCTTTGCAACTTGAGTGAAGACCAGAGTACGAAAACACACAGCAGGTAAGCAACTCACTTTTGGTGACTGTTCCTCACGAACATTCTCATCCTGCACTGCAACATATGAACAAGGAGATCGTCTCCTTAACAAATCGAACAGGTACATCACAAGTTCCAGAGCACAGCATGATAACAAGGTCAAAAGAAACACAATGAAGGTAGGTTACCAACACCACGATATAACAATCATACTAACAACTGAATTAAGTATTCTGACGACGGGCAGCCCTGATGTGCTCCGTGATCCTCAACGAGCGACCACTTGTAATAGAGGTGTTATGTCACGTGACACCGATCCGTCCAATCACAAACAGGAAGAACGTGAGCAGATCGATATCGTGTGTTTACTTTCCTTATCTTTATTTGACCCTCTGTTCACATTGTTATCTCTACCACATCTCGGCTCGGCAAGGTCCGCGTGCAATATCTGCACCGCGGTAAACACGCCATGATTACGTCATGAACTTAAAATAGTGTGATTGTTGTACTTATATAACCGTGCCCATTGCCCACGTACAATACAAACTGTTGGGGGGGGGGGGGGGGGTTAAGATAAACAACCGATCTTGATAGTGTGTTGGTCGCTCCTCCAACTGACTGTGATGCTAACCGTTCAATCATGAACGGAACATAAACATTGTTTAGTTATAGCATGTTTCGGTTTAATTGTTGAATTGCGGAGATCAGTATTATTAAAAACATTTACTCTAATATGAGGTCGCGATTATGAACTGAGTGAGATTCCAAATGATGAACTGTGCTTTAAGTTTACATCAACTGGAAGCAAAGGAATAATGCATATATCTATGAGTGCTCCTTTGCTTAACTTAGACAGTAAGTGTTTGAAAACAGAATCTAGGACACGACTTCACTGACAAGAACTGTATGTTCCAGGAGGAGGCACTTGCGGTGTACAGGAGGACAAGCATGGTTATACCTGACAGAGTTAAAGTACTAGTTATAGTACTACTACTAATTCAACATGGAGCAGTTCATTTTTACCAGGTTAGACACTCAAAATTTCAATTTGTGCTGTGTAATTAGTCATTGCCGTTTTAAATATGTAAACTTGGAATCATTCTCACAATTGTAATAGGAGTTTGTGTAACTTTAAATGTTGCACTTTCCCTCAAAGTCAATGGAATTCATTTTGTGTGCGGGGTGTTTATTTTAGATGAGATAACACGGAAGTATTGATAAAATCGATAACGGGTAATGGGTGCGCTGTTGAAATGGTTCAGTGAACCCCTCTTTAGTTCGTTTACCAGCTGCATTTTATTTCGGATCATGGGTTAGAGCTTTGCTGTACGCTATTAAAATTTCTATTTAAAATCCTGCATGCAGTTACTCAGAGCCAGCTAGAGTCTAGAGAACGTGTTGTAACGTCACGTAATAGTTGAGTGTAGAGTGATTAATCATCGTCCGGTTAGTTAAGAATAAGCGGAATAAAAAGCGAATTAAATTTCAGGAGTTACACTTAACATCCCAGCGGGGATGTGGGGCAAGACTCAGTTCACGCCGGAAGAAGTAGCAGCCAGCAGAAAAGTCAGAATCGCCCGCATCCACGTGGAACGCTCCATTGGCTATCTGAAGCGGTACAAGATTTTGGGAAACAAAGTTGTGGCGAAGATGTTGCCTTATCTGAGCGACATCGCATTCGTGTGTGCCCAACTTGTCAATTTGAACTCTGATTTTTAAGGGAGGTGGACAGTGATTTTTTAAAAATGACCAGGTCTACCTGAATTTGTTGAGCTTGCTGAATAACTCAAAATTCGATCTTGGGAGCACTCATGGATACATGCATTATTCCTTTGGTTCCAGTTGGTGTAAACTTAAAGCACAGTTCATCATTTGGAATCCCGCTGAGTTGATAATCGCGACCACTTATTACAGCAAACTGAATAATACTTATCTCCGCAGTTCAACCGAGACATACTATAATAACTAAACAATGTTAATATTCTGTTCATGATTGGACGGTAAGCACCACAGTCAGTTGGAGGAGAGACCAACACACTGTCAAGATCGGTTGTTTATCTTAAACCCCCCCCCCCCCCCCCAACAGTTTGCATTGTACGTGGGCAGTGGGCACGGTTACATTATAACGGTCACACTATTACTAGTTCATATGACGCAATCATGGCATGTGTACAGAGGTGTAGAATATAGGAGGGGGGAATGCAACGTCAATTAATGTCAATTAATGTCAATTAATGTCAATTAATGTCAATGTCAGTTTTGCAAAATTTTGGAATACTGACATTAATTGACACGATATTTTTCGACCAGAGATTATGTAGTTCTACCATATTTTTAGCACTTTAGAACGTTTATATCATCAATTTATTCACTACTATCACATATGGAAATGTGAAATGTGCAAAATTCAGATCATTAAACAATAAAACTAAAATAATACGGTTTTCCGAAATTTAATTTTCTTAAATGGGCGTGACCATCCAAGGGCGTGGTTCTCAACATCATCAGACCTTAAAACCCACATTAAACGAAATGCCTTGATGACATTTATATTTGAATAACGAATCTTAAACAGCTAACATTACTCCTTCATACTAAAAAAGCCGATTCTAGATATTTTACCTTTATAAGAAACCAATAAAATATGGGCGTGGCCGGTGGGGACCGAAGATGGAAGAGTTGGAAGCTGAAATTTTTTTGGTGGTCTTTGAACCTAAGGATCAACAGATAAGAACATACTCATAATTATTCAAAGACATTTTGTTTTTTTGAACCGGTCTAACTTACATAGACGTGAATATCTTGAATATTTATCGAATAATGATAATCTCAAATTTCAAGACAAATTAATGTCAATTAATGTCAATTAATGTCAATTAATGTCAATTAATGTCAATTAATGTCAATTAATGTCAATTAATGTCAATTAATGTCAATTAATGTCAATTAATGTCAATTAATGTCAATTAATGTCAATTAATGTCAATGTCAGTTTGGGGTTTTTATGGAATACTGACATTAATTGACGTTGCATTCCCCCCTATAGGAGCACCGTGAAATTGCCAAGATGTGGTAGAGATAACAATGTGAACAGAGGGTCAAATAAAGATAAGGAAAGTAAACAAACGATATCGATTTGCTCACGTTCTTCCTGTTTGTGATTGGACGGATCGGTGTCACGTGACATAACACCTCTATTACAAGTGGTCGCTCGTTGAGGATCACGGAGCACATCAGGGCTCAAGGGCTGCCCGTCGTCAGAATAAACTTAATTCAGTTGTTAGTATGATTGTTATATCGTGGTGTTGGTAACCTACCTTCATTGTGTTTCTTTTGACTTTGTTATCATGCTGTGCTCTGGAAATTGTGATAGTACCTGTTCGATTTGTTAAGGAGACGATCTCCCTGTTCATATGTTACAGGATCAGAATGTTCGTGAGGAACAGTCACCAAAAGTGAGTTGCTTACCTGCTGTGTGTTTTCGTACTCTGGTCTTCACTCAAGTTGCAAAGCTGCAATAAACGTATCGCAAAGAACATTTATATCTGAAAATTGTGTTAGTACCAGTTTGATCAGATAAGGTGAGGATTGCCTCGATCTGTCGGGTTCAGCTTAACTGCCTAGGTCATGAGTAGAACCGAAGGATCAAAACATATGTTGCTTGTTGCTCGTATCAACTATAAAACATCAATTTTGAGGGATAAGGAAGTGTTTATAGGTTCTGAAACCTAGCTAAATCGATTTTTCGTGCAATTTTAGGTCAGAAACAGTCATCAAAATGAGTTAATAAGAAGGTCGATTTCTCGGTTATTTTTGAGCTTTCGTTCAGAAAATAATTCGGGGCCTTCAAAGGGGGGTAACAAGAAAGCGTTACAAGTGTTACAAGCCTTCTATAATACAAAATGTGTATCATCTCTTCAACCCGCTGAACATGTGCTTACCCTAAAAATGTAAACAAATGTGTTTCACCTCCTCAACCCGCTGAACATGTGCTTACTATTAAAGTAAACAAATGTGTTTCACCTCCCCACCAGTATCCACATCTATAGACAGAGCATATTTCCTCAAAAACTTCAGTTTTATAAAGCCAGTTTAATTGTAAACATTCTTTTAAAACAGACAAATTGATCAAACGCGTCAATCTACCGTGATTACTGTTATTATAACCACTAACATTTCCATCTCATGAGATGTGATCCACTCCCCCTACACCCCCTTCCCAAGGTTCCCAGGATACAACCTACACGCAGGCTGTCTTGCCACGGCACACAGGTAGTTTTCAAATTGAATGTAGGGTAGAAGATAGGAAGCGGAGTTAACCAAAAATACTCAGTGAACGTCATACATCAGTGTGACTTGGGCAAGAAGGATGACATCGAGAACTTGGACGTAAAAGTTGTTTTGACCTATGATTTCGTGCATGGGAATCATAATGAAAAGTATTGAACTTATGAGTATCAAATAATCCTGTGGAATTTATCATGAGTCTTATTCCTTTAGAAGACTCGGTGGTAACATCGTATTAATACTATTACTTACATAATGGTACATAATATTCCGTTTTTAATAAATAAACCATTTACAACTAAGGGATCCCATACAATGCGTAACATGTTATGTTCTCTGTATTGGATAATGGATAGTTATGAATCAACGATCTTATAGTGGCTTGTTCCACCATTCCTCCAAAGAAGAAATAAAGTTACTGTAATGAGGATTCAGCTCAGTGTATCTGATTGATGGATCTGCAAACACGGCAGTTGGTGGGATGCCGCAGATGTGTGAGGACGACCAACACTATTGGTACTGTCATGCAAGCTCAGGGACGCCGATCTTTTTGGGGGAAATGTATGGGTCACTTTATGATGTGACTTGCTAAATGTAATACCCACAATTTACAGACTTTCTACATCACTGCCAAGTTACGCTCTCAATGATCCCATGGTCGACAACCAAAATTATCATGTGCAGTGAGGAAGCGGAGAGATGTCTCCCATGACTAACGACTTCCGTGCATGGCGACGTCTCAGCGAGTCATACCTTCAGTGTTCAGGACGAGGGGTACCAATGGGGGACGGGTTGGAAGCTTGTACATTTACTGTACCTATGTTCAAATCGACTATGTACTGGTACTATGTATGGAGACAGTGCAATAGGACCTTGATATTGGTGTGCTGAAGTTAATCTACATTCAGTGTCTTGTAAATTTGTGGGTGTAAATGATTTTACTACACGGTAAATAATCTGATACTTCAACACGAATGAAAAAACATTATCTAAGCAGGTTGCCTCAAAACCCAGATAATACCACGCTTGTAAACATCTTCGACTTGTAACTATTACGGATCTGTGCTAGTGAACACACCCTGCTACAGTAATTGGGGGAATGTCGATGCTGTAAGTTTGCAAACTCATACCAAACTTGTCTGTCCAGGGGATCGGTGTAGATGGGAGGCGGAGATCACGACAAAATCGACTAATCCTCAAAGCTGGAAGCGATGTTTTATAGAATCAACATGGCACTAGAAAGTGCTTTCCTCTGACTCGTATGGAATATACCAGTATTCTCCTGGTATATGACTACGTAGATGTCTAGTTATCATTTAAAACGGTGGTGTAGCATTTTATTATTTATATATATTACATATATTATCTTGTCAATTAAAACATTCCTCTCAGACAGTTGTTGTATAGTGACATTATTTCTTTACGAAAATATTAATTAGAGTAACTACTTTGAACAGGAACCCTATTCCACGAAGAAAATAAAGTGTACTGATTACGGATTACACAGGAGCTAGTTGCTAACAGAGTGGAGCGATTGGTGGTGAGAGGATGTACTGTCATTTTACCGACGAGGGGGGTCCTTTGATGCTCAAGATACCCAAACTACACTTTTGGACCGATCTGAAGCCTGTCAACACTATATGTGTCACTGAGAGTGAGGATTCCCTACTCCGCTCTGATCACATAGTCTATCACGGACCGGGGTAGAGGAGACGGGCGTCATTTGAATATTATTTAAGTATTTTTGGTTCAAAATATCATGTATGATAGATATGATTTGTATTATAGATTTATTTGTTGCTTGAAGTAATACGTTCTGTAAATGTATGAATGATTTCACACGTAAAATCAAGATATCCTCTACCACGAATCGAACACATTTCAGCTGTTGCCTCAACACCCAAGGATATCACCACCGCTGTAGACCAGACATTGACTTGTAATATCGGAGGTCTAGACGCTAGTGGAACCCCTGCTACTGTAACTTGGAAGGATAATGATGATGCTGAAGTTGAAACATCGGATACCCAAAACTATGGTCTCGTCCAAGGATCGGTAGATGGCAGCGGAAATCAGGTAGCAGAACTGACTATCAAAGCTGCGAAGCTGGCTGCTTTTGCTAGCCTATCATCAGTGACCTACAAGTGCTCCGTCAAATCTGGAAAATACGCAGATTCTCCTGCATCTGACTACGTAGATGTCGTAGCTAATATTCTAAAACTGGGTGAGTGTAGCATATTTAGGGTACCTGTTATATTATTATTTGTTATAGTGCTGCAGAATGCTAAACAGTATTGCCGCTCTCAGACATTGAGTTGTTGGCTATGGTGAGTCAAGTTATTCTTACCAAATATTAATTTCAGAGGTAACTACTGTGAACAAGGAACAGCTTACTGGCACTGAAGCAACGATATCGTGTACTGTTGCGGGTTTGACACAGGCACTTAGTAACGTAAAATGGACAGCGTCTGGTGGTGATGATGCGCTGACTGCACCATTTACCGTCGAGGCGGGATCGTTGGATGGAAGATACCAAACTACCATTTTGACGATTCCTGAAGCTCAGAACACCGGTGATGTCACTTACTCGTGTGTTTTCACTTCCGCTGAACATACTGCAGTAGACCGGAAAACGGCAGTCATCTTGAAAGTTTTTTGTAAGTATTTTGAGTTAAAATAATAAATATATGCATAGATATGTATGTAGTTACTAGTTATTTATTACATATCTGAAGGTAACGTTTGTATGAATAATTTGTCATGTATAATCAAAATATTCTCAACCACGAATCGAACATTTCAGCTGTTGCCTCAACACCCAAGGATATCACCACCGCTGTAGACCAGACATTGACTTGTAATATCGGAGGTCTAGACGCTAGTGGAACCCCTGCTACTGTAACTTGGAAGGATAATGATGATGCTGAAGTTGAAACATCGGATACCCAAAACTATGGTCTCGTCCAAGGATCGGTAGATGGCAGCGGAAATCAGGTAGCAGAACTGACTATCAAAGCTGCGAAGCTGGCTGCTTTTGCTAGCCTATCATCAGTGACCTACAAGTGCTCCGTCAAATCTGGAAAATACGCAGATTCACCTGCATCTGACTACGTAGATGTCGTAGCTAATATTCTAAAACTGGGTGAGTGTAGCATATTTAGGGTACCTGTTATATTATTATTTGTCATAGTGCTGCAGAATGCTGATCAAGGAAATCTAAATAGTATTGCCGCTCTCAGACATTGAGCTGTTGGCTATGGTGAGTCAAGTTATTCCAACCAAATATTAATTTCAGAGGTAACTACTGTGAACAAGGAACAGCTTACTGGCACTGAAGCAACGATATCGTGTACTGTTGCGGGTTTGACACAGGCACTTAGTAACGTAAAATGGACAACTTCAGCAAATGCCGATGTGATGAGCCCAGATCAAGGCTACACTGTCGATCAGGGATCGTTGGAAGGAGCTACTCAAACTACCACTTTAACTATTCCTACTGATAAGAACAACGATGATGCTACTTACTTTTGTGTTTTCACTTCCACTGAACATACTGCAGTAGATCGGAAAACTGCAGTCAGTTCCAAAGTTTTTAGTAAGTTTTCTAAGTTAAATGATAAATCATGTTTATAATGTACATTCTAAAGGTTTTTAGTATTAAGCATTGTTTAAGATGGATCCTAATAGGTGCTAAATGTTCGACCCTCGAAATTCACCAATTTAATCATATTTATAAACCTCTGATATAACTGAGTAAGTTATTGTAGATATTACTATTAGGTCGCAGGATCAAACTTTGCTTTACCATAATCTCAACATTTCAGCTGTCACCCCAGAAGCCAAGCCAGTTACCACCGCCGTTGATCAGACGTTAAGGTGCACTATTGGTGACCTCGATCAAGCAGTCAAAATAACTTGGAAGGGACCAGATGGAACAACTGTTACAGATGACGATTACTACGATCTCAGCGCGGAAACAGTCACTGATGGAGGCACACAAGTGTCTACTCTAACTATCAAGGCAGATAAAATGGGATCTTTTGTCGATGAAACCTCATTCACATACACGTGCTCCGCCAAGTCGGAACAGTACATAGATTCGCCTGAATCAAAGGACTTTGATGTCGTAGCTACTGTCTTGGATCTAGGTATGTTTTTTAACACCGTTTCTTATATTTTCATATTAAACTAGTGAACTGATGACAGGTATATGTAATATTTTAATGAATTTTACTGTACCCAACTTTCTCAGCGGTAATTGCTGTGAACAAAGAACAGCTCAAAGAAACAGAAGCAACGCTATCTTGTAAAATAACTGGTCTGACGAACCAACTAGATAAAATAACATGGACGAAATCCGACGATACACCGATAATATCAGGCCAGGACGGCTTAACCATTAACGATGGTATTCTGGATGACAACAGTTCTCAGACCACTACTTTGACAGTTAGCGGTGCTGAAAACGGCCAGGACACCACCTACAAGTGTGTTATAACCTCTCTTGAACATGATGTCGCGGACAGGAGCACCACTGTTAGTCTCCAAGTGTTTTGTAAGTATATGTTTTATGAATTATTATTATTTTTCATTGTTTTTATAAATTTGTTTGAATTGGTATTGCGGTGATATTTTTATAGGTTTTGTTTATAATATGTTTTGTTTGTAACAGAGGGTACTATATGTACAGGGTGTTTCAAAAGTCTGGAAATGATGTTCTTTTTAAATGGATTTTAGAATCCATTTGTCTAAACTTCATTCTGTAAAAATTTATTTGTAGTTCTAAGGTTTCACGGTGACTTCTCAAGTTTTTACATTACCATGACCACCATAGCCACCGCAATCAGTCACCTAGCAACCGAGGTAAATTTGCTTGATTTACCTTACAAATTCTTGGTACTGTTTCAAAATTTCGACTTTCAATCATCATCAATTTACTTTTCAAATTTTTATTAAAAAGCTGTGTTTATAAAGGAACAATGTCAGCCATATCTTCTTACAACAATGTTTCATTTGGTGGTATACATTTTGTTATTATGAGTGAAAAATTCTTCTGTGATGGTTGCTGACAAGGATCGAAGTAAACGAATCGCTGAATTAATTTTTAAGCATGACGAATCAGTTACATTGACTAAACTAAATTTCTACTTAAGTGGATAATATGTAAATAGCCAAAACACCAGGATACGGGGACTTGAAAACACTCATGCAAGTATTCCCAAAGTAAATTCCAAGGAAAAGGTTGTGGTTTGGTGTGCCATATATTATTTATATGCTAATATCGTTGTATTCATATCCCCTCAATACCTAAAATATCAAACATCAAATAAAATGTTATTTCTAGATAATATTGGTCTTTCATTTGGTCGATAAGAGAAAAAATAACCTAAATTTACCTCGGTTGCTAGGGGACTGTTTGTTGTTGCTATGGTGGTCATGGTTACGTAAAAACTTGAGAAGTCACCATGAAACCTTAGAACTACCAATAACTTTTTTTAGAATGAAGTTAAGACAAATGGATTAAAAGTTATCTAAAAATAACATCCTTTCCAGACTTTTGAAATACCCTGTATATTGTATTATGTTTATTTAGAGCTAGGGGTACAAATCCCCTCTCCATATTCAGCTGGAGTTGAAATTTCTCAATCATGTTACATTTTGTTGTCGCAAGATGTACGTGGAAACTTAGTAATACATCTTTGAACAATAAATAAAAATACAACTAAATTATATGTATTATCCGAGACTTAATATAAAACTGATTTCATGATTTGCTTACAACATTTCAGCTGTAACCCCAGTGGCAACGTCTATCACGACTGCTATCGACCAGACTTTAACTTGCTCTATTGGAGAACTTACTCCAAATGGAAATCCTGCTTCTGTCGAGTGGACAGATCCATATGAAATAACAATATCCTCAAACAACAACAATTACGTGATCAACTCGGGCACTCCTGATGATTCAGGGTCTCAGTCAGCAAAACTAACCATCAAGCCAGATCAGTTGAGGAAGTTAACCACCTCAACTGTTTACAAGTGTCGCGTAAAGTCCGGAAAGTACCCGGTGTCACCTGCAGCTGACTTTCAGGATGTTAAAGTTACTGTTCAAAAAGCTTTAGGTAATTTCTTTATATTCGTGTTCCACGTTTGCATGATGGTAATATGACTTTGAAAACGAAATATATTCGTGAGAAGTTAAGAAGAAAGATTTAGTTCTAGTTGAGTTGTTTACGCGATTTCTAAGATAAAAAGGTAAACTCATATAATATTTCAGTGATAACTGGTGTACACAAAGAACAGCTAAGTGGTACAGAGCTAAAATATCTTGTAAAATAACCGGTCTAACGAAGCAGCTAGACGAGGTAAAATGGAGGAAATCTAACAATTCACCTATCACATCTGGTCAGGATGACTACATCATTGATACTGGTGACTACAATGATGGCTCACAAACAACGGCTCTAACAGTCCCTGGTGCACTGAATGAGGCTGGTTCTACTTACACCTGTCTGGTGACGTCTGAAGAATGGGCTGTTGAAGACAAATCTGCAATTGTAATGTTGGATGTTTTCAGTAAGTCCGGAAATATTTCCTACATGATAACATCATGAGTATAATCCGATAACACTAGGTCAAAATTCGTATAGTCACTCTTCATTGCTAATAAGAGATGACGGTCAGCTGAATTCTTTTGACGTTCAATCCAATTTTTGATTAAAACCAAAATTTCAGCTCTGACTCCGACTGATAGAGAAGTGACCACGGAAGTTGACCAAAAGTTGACATGTTCCATCAGCGGATTAACACCCAACGAGCCCGCTGCAGTTGTTACCTGGACCGATCCTGATGACGTCATCGTAACACTCTCTAACGAGGAGTACTCTATCAGTCAGGGAACAGTGGACAGCACAGGAACTCAAGTGGCAGAACTTACCATCACCCCTGTAAAGTTGGGCACCCTCGCTGTCACCTCTACTTACAAGTGTTCTGCTCAGTCAGGCAAATATCCTACTTCTCCTTTCTCTCCCAGTCAAGGGGTCCTGGTTACGGTTTTATCGATAGGTAAATAAATAAAAATTTATAAAATAAGTTACAGTTACAAACATTGCACAGTTAACACTTAATTTCTATATTGATCAATTGTGAACCGACTTCAACTTGAAGTGGGTCCGTTTATTCATAATAGCAAACTTCTCCACAACATTAATAAAAAATGAAACGTTTCAGTATCACAGTCTACAGGATCAGAAGTGCTGGCTGGACAGGAAGCTATCATATCCTGTGCCTTCACCGGCATAACCCAACAGCTAGACTCCATAACCTGGCTCAGATCTGATGGTACCCTAGTGAGCTTTCTCGACAACTTTGAGGTAGAGGTGGGAGACTACAACAAGGCTGATAACTCCCAGGTGACCACATTGACGGTGCTTGGGGCGGAGAACTCGGCTGATAATATCTACATCTGCCAGTATACTTCGGTCGAGTGGGCTAGGGTTGATGATAGGGGCACGACCGTTCCAATTAATGTCTTTGGTAGGTTATAGATTATTATTATGCAGATTCTGGTTGGGAGGTATCAGGTGAGGCATATTTTTTGACACGTTACAGTGATTTTGGGCTTTGATTGGTTAATAGTCGAAGCTGATTGGTTAATTTCTGTCACGTGTAAAAATTGTGGCTCACTTCCGCACCAGAATCCACATCTGTTATGCACAATGTTATTTCAATTTTCTTATCGCGATTGTCCAGAGCGTTGAAATTGAATGGTTATCAGTATCACTGATTTCAATTGTCTGAGAGATGACCTGCTGCTTTTCACATTCATTGTAGATTGCTGACAAAAATACAAATTTTATGATTTTGCCTTCTATAAACTAAGAAATTATATTTCTGTAGATGCACCATACTAAACATTCGTATCTTCAGCTGTCCTACCCCGCGGAGAGGAATTCTCATTCGGTAATTACATTTCTCATCACGATAAAACATTTCTCTAGACTTCGGAGGATGAATTAAAGTGATCTCTGATGACATACTGACAACTACCGGCTTTGACCTGAATCGTACCTAGATAAAAGTAATTTCGTGATAACTGAAATTGAAAGGTCTTCTAATAATTTTAACCGATCCTGTTTGTTTTTCAGCTGTGACACCAAGTGGAGAGGAGATAAGTACAGCCACCCCTCAGACAATATCATGTGATATCTCTGGTTTGAGTGCTCCTGCTGACATCATCTGGATAAAACCTGATGGAATTGAGGTGGAAAAGGATGACACTGCAAATTACCTTGTTGAAGATGGGAGAGATACTTTCGTGGAAGATGGAGGATTCCAGACAACAAAGCTAACCCTGAAAGTACCTGTGGTGGAGAAAGCAAGTTCTGTTGTGACGTACAGATGTTCGGTGCAATCAGAGGAGTTCTCCAAAAGTCCAGCTTTTTCAACTGATGTTGTTATTGGTAAGTGAGGTATCAATGATTTAGCTCATTTTAATAAAGTCTATTCTCACAGTACAGGGCTAACAATTATTTACCAGCTAAAACTTTTAAGTCATTCAGATTATTCCAAATCGCAATAACATTACATACCTGCGTAGTAAGTACGAATATATTCCTTAATAACTGAATTTTTTCCAGAACGAAAAACATACACGATAACAGGAGCAAGCCGTGATGTGCTGGCAGGAAGTGTTGCAACTCTTACCTGCTCCGTCACTGGATCCTCTGTAGCCGAGATGGGAATAGTATGGGTCGAGGAGAACGGTAATGTCTACGCTGCTTCCAACATAAATACTGACAACAAGGTCAAAGAAAGAATAGTCGGAGAGAACTCAAAAGAGTCCACGTTGAAGCTGTCTAAGAAGGTGACTGTAAACAAGGATCAAATCTTCAAATGTAGAGTCACTCTGGAAGAGGGCACTGACCCAGTTGAGATAGAGGTTCCTCTGAAGACATTTACAGTTACCACATTCGGGGTCGAGATCCAATCTGGACAACCAGCCACTCTGACCTGCAAAGTTATTGAGCCCACTGACACTCTGGAAGTGACTTGGTACTACGATGATGGTTTGGAGATAGGTGCTGGTACGCAGGAGACCATTTCAGATAACACAATCGTTGCAAAGCTGACTCTAGAATTCCCGAGAAATGATGCCAACTACACTTGTAGAGTTACCGGAGAGTATCGATATGAATTTTACGCCGAAGTGCTGATAGATGACATTGTTTTGAATCCTGCAGGGGAAATTCGTTCATTGACTGGATCAGAGGTTATTTTGACTTGCAGCTTCATTTCAGAAACAATCAGTGAGGGTTTCTTCCAGTGGAAGCACAACGAAGAAAAGTGCACCACAGCTGCATGTTTATCTCCGACTGAGACTCCAATATTATCAATGGTAAAGATCACTGTTGAAGATGGCACCACAGGAGAATGGAAGTGTTCTTTCGTCAAAGCAAAGAACAGCAGAGAAGTAAAAAGCGAGGCGGTAACAATTACAAAAGTGGAGTTGAGTGGCACCCAGACTCCAGCCTCGTTGTGGGGCTTAGTTGGAAGCGAGGCGGAAGTTTCGTGTGTTGTTCCTTACGGACTGACCTTTTCAAAGCTTACACCTGATAACATTGAATGGATTTTCAATCGATACGCGATTAGCGAACAAGGTGTTGGCCTTAACCAAAATAATGAAGTGTCTTTCTTTTCATTCGGCGAAAAGGTTACATCAGCAACATCTCTGACATGGTCAATAACCTTCTCTCACACAGATACATCAGTAGGGTCACTAAAGTGCAGAGCAACCTATGATTCGGGAGAGCAGATAGAAACCTCGCCCAGCTACCTTAACTTGATAACTTCATCATCAGATGTGGAATCAATTGTTATTACTCCGACTACTGGAGCTGTAGTAACTTTCATCACCCAAGCTAAGGTATCTCCCACATCAAGCATAGTAATGACCTCTGGAAACTTTCAGATTCAGTCCACTGAAGAAGAAGCCATCTGCCGATGGTATACTTTTCACGGAAGTTGTTGAATTTTCAACTAACTCAGTTGACGAGGCGAACTCCAAGGAGGATCTGTCAGTAAAACACTATCCTTACACTTACACTGTCTATTCAGACCAACCAGACGAAATATCAGTCTCGGGAACAGCTTCACTGGTCGGGGAGACTTTCGTGGACATTGCACCAGTTTGGGTTACAGTCGGTGGGAGGGCAAAGTTCACAGCTTACTTAACTGCTGTCGATAGAGCTAGCGTTAAAGTGACTTGGGAGCAGCAGGGTACAAATGGGTGGATTGATGTCATCGCAAATGGGTACTCTATTTTATTATCTGAACTAGACGACAAGAATGTGATGTCGACAGTTCTCTTAATAGATGAGATGGGACAAACTGACATTACAAAATACCGGACCCAAGTCGAGGTGGCAGGTTCTGTTAGGACAACGGAATCAGTGACTGTTAAATTTGCCTCCGCCATTGTTTCAGATCAATTGTTGGCTGTTTTTGAGCGCGGATCTATTTCTTTTACAGTAACGATAATAGGCCCTAGCAAACCTACAAATGTGGTGTTAAAACATGCGGAGAGTGGCAAGGAAAAACAAGTTGATCTGACAAGTGTTCCATCATCAAGTCCTTTCCAGATATCGCACCAAATTGACGAAGTTTACGCCGGTGATCAAGGATCATACTCTTTCAAAGTGACATTCGATTCTCGACTGAAAGTGGAGTCGGACACAGTGAAGTTGGTAGTGCAGAGAAAATGCAAACCCTTTACAATTCCTCCAAATACTCAACTTGCAGAGGTTGCTATTCCGGATTCCAATGATTATAAAATAACTGTTACCTGCATTCAGGGATCTTATGTCCTCATGAATGAGAGCCGAACAGGGGCTGTTTGTGATACAGATTCTGGTGCATTTGATACATATCATCTTAGTCCTTGTTTTAGAACTACTGAAGTTCCTGCAGAAGAACCAGAAGATGATGAATCTCACAATTCAGAAGAACCAGAAAATGATGAATCTCACAATTCAGAAGAGAATCCTGCAGATGATGAATCTCACGAGAATCCTGCAGAAGATGAATCTCACAATTCAGAAGAGAATCCTGCAGATGATGAATCTCACAATTCAGAAGAGAATCCTGCAGAAGATGAATTTCACAATTCAGAAGAAAATCCTGCAGAAGATGAATCTCATAATTCAGAAGATAATCCTGCAGAAGATGAATCTCACAATTCAGAAGAGAATCCTGCAGATGATGAATCTCACAATTCAGAAGAGAATTCTGCAGAAGATGCTTCAGGAGAATCGGAAGGGAATCCTGCTGATGGTGCTTCAGGAGAATCGGAAGAAAATCCTGCAGACAATTCTTTAGGAGATTAAACAGAAATTAAACAAGAGTATTGAGCAGACAATCCAGTAAAGATTTATAAGAAGGTCTTGCAGATGATTTAGCAAAAATGCTTCATGAAGTTAAGCAAAAAAGCAGTCGCCAATCCTGCTGAGAGTTCGGCTAAATGATTGAGCAGAAGATTCAACAGAAGATTCAGCCGAGGATCAAGCAGCAGAAGACCTGAAAGACGAATCAATATATTCGTCAGAACACATAAAATTTGATGCAGAGCATTCTTTTTTGTGATACATTTTATTTTAACTTACAAACTGTTATTGAATAAAACTTGCATCGTATATTGCTAATTTTTCTCCCCAAACTTAATGGCATATATTATCACTTTTGGAAAATCCAATCTCTTCCATTATGAATGGCTCCAGTTCTTTTTACATTTTTTATAATCATATGCAAAATCTCATTGCTATAAATTGTTTCACAAAGGTCATGAATATTTTATTGAACTGATCATTAAAATGAAATATCCATGAATTAAATGACAAACCGTACTGTTCCATTACTAAGTCGATTATGTTAATGGTAAATATGGTAAACCTTTTTTATGTTATCGATATTTATTATATTGCATAATTGTTAATGTTATAAATGAGTCGCACTGTATTTTGAATAAATTGATTTATGATTTATTGTTGTCTAACTCTAAAGTTAATTAATTTTGAATGCCATATTTTTATACTTTATATTAATGAATTGCCATTGTTGTTTCTTGTATTTAAAAAAATAGTTTAAGTCAGAAATATAATCAATAAAAAAAGAATAAAGAACGCTAAATTAATACACGAATACTACAGGGTGGCCCAAAAGTAACTACCCTGACCCACACGCAACGGCCCTTTAATAACTCGCGTAATTCTTCTTAGAATTGCACAGAAATTTCAGAGATTATAGATATGGGTCAAACTTAGATTTCCTGAAAGTTTCGTCAAATTTAATTAATTACAGTGGGTGTGGCACGCCACTCCCTCTTTTTCACTATTGTCACCATAAAGTGAGAACGCAGTCAGCTAAAAACTTCAAAGTTTCTAGACACATTTGGCTTGATAATTAAAGTGCTTTCCCAAAATTTCAAGTTGGTTGTTAACAATTTCACCGAGTTATAAATCAAGAGGCTTGCATATAATGAACATATTGACACGGGTGCAGAGTTGAGTCTGTACGGAACCTAGTAGTTTCAGTTCCTTGTTTAACTTGCCGTACAGCAAGGACATCCTTATGACCCTTTTAAGATCTTGTAGATACGTGATCCAGCACTTAATCAGTGATATCTTCACTCAATCATATACCAGCTACTTTCTTAGCTGGTATATGATTGGCATGTTTTGGCGAACGGGCAGGACCGCGGACCGCGGGTGGACACCTGATACAAAGCCACTCCATATCAGTTATAATCTCAGAACTACTTTTAATGAACTAAACGGTAAAAAGATGCCTATTAGTATTAGTATCTGGGGCCAGCTAACGTATTGAGCATAGAATTTCCGTTAGGCATTTTTAAAAACCTTCTTTAAGTTTAACCTTTTAAAAAATATCAAGGTTTCTCAAAACGATCGGATCATTCTTTTTCAAAGCAATTAACGTTTTTAACAAAAATTGCGCCGGTTAGCGGACGCTAGATTTCCATCAACCGTAGTGATTGCCATGCCTTTTAAAATTTAATTTTAAAATTACAATTAACGATAGTTTCATGTTGGTCAAAATACTAAATAATGGTTCTTTTTTGAACCATTATTTAGCGTGCTAAATAATTATACACAGGAACTTAGTCTTAACTTCATGATTTTTCTAAAAGGGCCCCGTCAGTTCTTATTTTGCACGCCATTTCCTCTGCGCGAAGTTCTTATCACTTCTTTGTTTTTGCTTTCTTACATTTGCACTTGACATGGCTGTATAAAGATAGAGGAAGTTGGTATTATTTTTCACTTGGGTTAGGCCTATAGGGTTTGCTACATGGTCTTCATGTCAAAAACCGCGTCAATGATTGATGATGTTCAGGTAATAAAATAAACTCGGTATGTTGGAAACAGAAAGTTATTGCAGTGTTGGTAAATTAGTACAAAAAACACACTCCAGGGCATAAGATATAATCATAAATTTAAAATATTGTAATCTCAGGTCCTGATCAGCACTTTATCAGTTTATGCAGCAGCCAATTCAAGACTCTCTTTATCAGTAATATCAGCATAAAATTAAATCTCAACTCTCTGAGGTTTATTTCGAACAATGAACATGACAAAGCTTCATAACAGCTATCAGCTATACCACCAACCTATATAATTATACAAATTCTAGTTCAGCTTTACAATCATATAAATCTGAAAACAATCTGCAAAGTATATAAACGTAAAATCAATCTAATTACGATATAAATATATATAAACGATCAGTGATATTTATAATTGATCAAAAACAATGAGTTCTGATTTCTGATCAGATATGATCAGAATATGGATTATTATCTAATTTCTTGAGAAATGTAAGATTAATTAATAGAATTCTAATACTTATTTCAGAACAAGAACCTAACAAAGTGAAAAAAGTAATTTACAAGCATACAGTCTTGTAGAAATCAAATCATAGACATCTCAGATAGTCGACAAAAAGTTTCTTTTGCTTCAAGCAGTCATTTATAAAAATCAGAGAGCGAAGACTTCTTTCTCAAAGTTACTTAGTAACCGTCACGGGTATACTTTACAAATTTTGTGATTTTTCTAGGGTGTAGAAACATCTTCTGACCTTCGTTTTCTTAATCTGAAAAACGGAAAAATCAATAAAACTACTAATAGTAATATTATATAATTGCCATTAAATTAGGGTACATACACTATGAATCTTAATATGCCCAGATCGCGACAGAAATTATTTTGCTAGTGCAGTCTACAAGTATACATGGCGATTGTCATGGCATAATATGTTCACACAGAGTGAACTGTTTCTCTAGCTTATATTGAAGTGCACCCAATTAAATTCGTAGACCCAATAGTTAAATTCTAAACAATATGTTTGCCATAGATCATGAATAATTGGTCGCCACTCCCCATCATAAATAAAATTAAAACCAATGCATCGCAATTAAGAAGAATGTAAAATCACCTGACTACAAGGAAGGAAAGTAGAGCAGTGATAGCTACCACGGTCGCCACCCCAACGGTTGTAGCTGCTAGGTGGTGGACTGACTCAGAATCATCTGTACAGATACACGTTAATCATAAAATATGGTTATTATAAATATATGTTAGTGGGGAAGACTGGGGAATCAGCAAAATAAGAAGTCTCACTTTGTATTTGGCAAGGAAGCAATTTGATTTTACCAGCTCAATTTCAGTCAATTACCTGTAGATATGGATGAATTATCATTACTTTGCTCAAAGTCGTAGTCGGGATCATCAACACCTCGTCTTCGTCTGATAAATATCATAAAATTAAGATTTTTACCGATTACGAGTATAATTTCTCAATATCTGATTCTGAATCTCTCAATATTTTCCATATCTTCCATATCTTCCATGTTTCTCAATATCTCTCAATATTTCTTAAAGTTAATATCTCTCAATATCTTTCGTAGAATATTATGGTTAATATTAAGAAAGAATACGGTCCCTTCACTAAATAAATGTACAATGACTGTATATTATAAAAATATAATAACTATTTTAATATAAATAATAACTTTTTTAATAAGTACCTTTTATTATAATCGTTTGAACAGCTCCAGAACTGAATTTTGCCTTTAATTGCTATGAGAGGATCTCTCTCAGCGGGAGTCCAAACACCAGGTGTCAAGTTAACAAAGTACTCTAAAATCACCTTGCCGTCCTCGTAACGACAATCTGTTTTGTCTGTATCCAGAGTACACGCTGTGAGGGGAGTGTTTTGTAGTAAGCGGTACAATGATGGTTCATAGATGTTCACTTAAAGTCACGTGAGTGCCTTCGCTTGGCACTTTATCAAGTTTATTGTGCATATTTAGATATAAGTAAGGCCCCTTCCAGCCATTGCCACTGCGAATTTAACCTAAAACCTGCCCAGTTAATAGCGAAGACTGCGAAATTACCACTCCTGCCTAGTAATCTAATTTACCCTGTCCAGATCAGCAGTATATTACACTAAATCCGCAGGTTTTCTCTTAATTTTTTATGTCAAAACCTGCCTAATTAACTAGTGATCCTGCATCAACAGCGCAGGTATTTGTTATTTGGCAGGTTTTCTATTAACTTGGCAGGATTTGCTATAAAATTATCAATCCTTTCCGGATGGATTACGGCAGTGGTAAAGTTAAATCGGCAGGTTTTCCATTAACTTGGCAGGATTTTTTATAAAATTATCAATCCTTGCCGGATAGATTACGGCAGTGATAAAGTTAAATCGGCAGGTTTTCCATTAACTTTGCAGGATTTGTTATAAAATTATCAATCCATGCCAAATAGATTATAATGCTATAATCTTATTATGGCAGCGTTAAATTTATAAATTGGCAGGTTTCTTTTATCTTTCTTTTAAGTTCTTAAGTTATTTGGAATTTTGCTTATTTGGCACCAAAACTAAAAGTCAATAAAACCGAGTTGATTAGCGCAGTCAAGAAATTGGCCGGAGTTGATAAAAAGCTGACAACCATGGCACTGAATCTCCAAATGAGAGGTATAGTACGCTATATACTTATATAGTACGGTACCGCAACAATTGACCCCCTCCCCCCCCCCCCCCCCCCCCCCCTGACAAATGACCCCCTGATGCAATCTACCCCCGACAATTGACCCCCCATGTAATTACACTGGGGTCAATTCAGGGTTAGGGTCAGGGTTAGGGTTAGGGTCAGGGTTAGGGTCAGGGTTAGGGTCAGGGTTAGGGTCAGGGTCAGGGTTAGGGTCAGGGTTAGGGTCAGGGTTAGGGTCAGGGTTAGGGTCAGGGTTAGGGTCAGGGTTAGGGTCAGGGTTAGGGTCAGGGTCAGGGTTAGGGTTAGGGTTAGGGTTAGGGTCAGGGTCAGGGTTAGGGTCAGGGTTAGGGTTACTGGGTAACACGACTCCTGTCAGCGACATCTGTCCGACAGCGACATCTGTCCGACTCAGGGTACCAGAAAAAACGACATTTGTCCGAAATTGTGATCTGATTTCAATACAACACATTTCCAATTAGAGACGTGATCTGAACTGTTAATTTGAATACGTAACATTGCCAATTTGAGATATGATCTGAGCCATAGTGTACTACTAGTTTATTTTCGACCTAGGCAGGCAGGCATGAAGCAACTGCGTTGTGAATGGCGAGCTGATCGTAGTCCATGAGAATGTATTGTGGTTGGTAGCCCCAAGGCCTCAGAAGCCCAGGTGTCTATCTCCTCGAACATGTTGCGGTAGAGGGTCGTCGATTTTCCAGGAATGAGTCCTTAGAAGAGGGGGAGGTGCCAGCCGTCAGGGAAGAGTCCGTGGACTGTGAAGAGCTGATGGAAGAGATTAGGTGCGGATTTGAAGGTACCGTTGGGCGTTGACTACGCAATGCTCCGCGTCCACCATATGATCTGCGTTCTTAGGAGTCCCCCAAAGGAATGATCGACGAGTCTGTTCGTCCCATCCAGAGTCCCAGAGCATCATTGGACTGTTGTCGGTAGAGAGGATTTAGTTTGCAGGAATGGATAGCGTTTCCAGATCTCTCGGGTCTGTTTGCTGCAGATCTGGGTCTGTTTACTGAAGATTGGTTGCCATTGTGGATTGCGATAACTGATCTCCATACGGCTGCTATCCTATATGTACTCATGTAGGCTGTGTCCTGTGATGTGATCGACAGCTTGTTAGTGTACGGCTAGCACAATCCTGTCCTTAAATAGTCAATCACGTATCGATGGATCAGATCTCAATGGATCAAATCAGCATTCGAACAATGGGAGCAACGTCACGAAATTACCCGTGAGTTTGTGAAATACGAATGTGAACCGAAATTACAATATGATCCGAAATTCGGACAGATGTCGCAAAAAACGACTCCTGTCCGACAGCGAAATCTGTCCGAAATCCCCAATTCGGCTGTCGGACAGATGTCGCTGTCGGACAGATGTCGCCCAATCGGGTTACTGTTAGGGTTAGTATAATAAATATATTTGTTTGGTCAATTGTCGGGGGGGGGGGGGGGGGGGGGGGTCAATTTTCAAGTATTATATCACTTGCACCGTTTAGCTCCACGTGGTTTCTTAAGCTTAAATACTTAACTGTCCTGTCAAGATAAAGTAAATCACTATCACCTCTCATTCTTAATAAGTTAGTAAGCAAGCATCTGATCATTTTAAAACAGTCACCTCCCAATTTAGCAAGTTCTTACATCTATATTACAGTCTACACCCTTCAATAATGAGATAATATGTTTGGCCGGTAGAGGGTCCGCAGTAGTCCCATTACAGCATTACCTCATTACCTTAGCATTGCTGTACAGTGTACAACTACTATAAGAGTATAAGATATACATCCTTCACCAAAACTGGTTTGTCCGCTTTCTATTACTAATTTTCCGCTGAAAGTGCCACATCAGTGATCAATTAATATTGGTAAATAGCAATAATTTGAGTTATAGGTTGACCTCCCACTTAGAGCATATGTGGGAGGTCAACCTATAAATTATAGTACGAGCTATTTCCAATTCGTGAATACGAATTTCGATTAAGGTCCAACTTATTAAGTGTCACTTTAACGTGTGACAAATTTCCGATCAAATATCTCATAATCTGAAAATAACTGCATATTTAGAACTATTATATTAATTGTAATTGAAGATTCTTTCAGAATCACTTCATTCACTAAATCTTACAATGTGAACAATGAACAGGTAGAGGCACTGCAACTGAAAAAGTGCTGTCCTCACTACTTAAGAACATAGCAATCTAATCTAAAAATGGCAACCTATTAAGAACTGAAGTTAAGCAAACAGTTATTTTCCAATAATCGGTTTTTATACAGGGTGGGCCAAAAGTCAGTGTGCAAACGTTGGGTCTTATACCTCCGCTGAGTTTTATATTTGAGAGCTGTTGCTTTGCAGATGGCATACTGTACTTACTGGTTCGAGGATTCCGTCGTCAAAATTTGAAAATTCGAATATTTTAGACTACGCCCATTCAATATTAAAACACCTATATTGTTTTCTCTGAAAATCCTGAACGCCTAATTTTTTTAGAGACGGTAGATTATCAAATGTTGCATATGATCTAAAAAAATGAGGCAAAACGGATTAGAAATGACGAAGTTAACAAGCATTTTGTGTATCTCGTTAACAAATTGACTGGGTGATTATGTGACACCGTGACACGACACCTTAATTGGGCACCCTTAACAATTCCCATAATGTTTAACGGGGTAGTTAACGGGGTCACCTTATCACGTGATTAGGTAAACCAATCACCTGATCACACGTAATGAACAAGCTTGTTATGCTTCATATCTCGGTCATCTGAGAAGCTAGAACTCTCATTCTTTCAGGGCAAACGTAATTCGAATGGCCAAACACAATTCAATAACATTTAGCTTGATCCGATTATCCAACTATCAAAAAAATGTGAAAATGAACCTCCATTTGAAAAAAATGAACGCGAATATTTTTCGAGTTGACAAATTCCTCGAACCAGTGGTGGTACTAAGTCATACCAGAAGGAAGTATTTCAATTGGGCACTCAGTGACTGAGCTATTAAGGCCAACGTTTGCACACTGACTTTTGGCCCACCCTGTACTTTTATACTCAAACTTATCATAGACCCCGTGTTGGTAACAGTGGATAATATGCAGTGGCGAAACGTACCTAAGAGGCCGCAGCTGCAACCCCCCCCCCATCCCCTTCCGCATAGCAGGGGTTGCCGGAGTGTCGGGCGGTCGTTTCGCCACTGACTAGTGACTGCATGTATAAAAGTATAAACTATAGAGCCACGTAGGCATGTAGCATTCTGTACTTCTGTAGCTTTGCACAAACCAAGTCTCAGTCCTACACCCTACCTACTTACCTAGTAATAAGGTTATACGATCATTACCGTATTCCACATTGTACACTCAAATTATCCAAAACCCCTGCCAATATAGGTTTAATCACGCCACAAGTTGATTCAAATTATCTCAACTTACGCAGGATTTGCGTTAAATCTGCAGCATTCGACTTTATATTTAACGGAAAACCTGCCAAAATAGAGCAAACCTGCCGAGAGTAGGTGAAAGGTGAGGCAGGTTTTGTGTTAATTTTGCAGGCTTTTCTATAAATCAACAACTCGATTAAATAATTACGTGAGATAAATCTCTGCACGAATACGATAAATAGGCAGGTTTTCGGTTAATTTTGCAGGAATCATTTTAAGACTTCAAATTGATTATCAGTCTTAATGTAAAACCTGCCAAATTAGGTGGCAGGTGGCAATGGCTGGAAGGGGCCTTAAGTATATGCGCCATAAAACACGCGAATGTACCAGTTTTAATATCATCGTCAACAGTCACCACGATGATTTTATAAACTCGTAAAACTACATAAAACACTTACTTCCGTCACCCAAACACGTAACTTGATGTCTAAAACCACAAGCACTATCGTCCGGTGAGTTCAGTTTTTCTTTCATACTTGCAATCGAATATTCACCAGTTGCTTCAGCAGTGCAAGGCGCTGGCTGAAATATATACTGTTAAAGTTGTGACAGGTATATATCTACAACGAGTACACTTTTCTTTGGCGAAAAAGCGGCTTATTGTTATATATAGAAAAAGCGGCCTATTTACAAGCCTCTTTTTGTTACCTGCGAAAACTTTACAAATAAATGGAACGTAATAAATACTAAATAAAGCATATAAACAGATTAACAAATAAACAACTAAGTACCTGCTCTGCGCTGTTTGCAACACCCATCTTCTGTATTCCCGTGCCAGTGGACAATGGGTTTGTTTCTTTGCACCGGGCAAGGGAGTTGTCATACTTTCCAGTCTCCTTGGTGCAAGTTATTGCTGCAGCCGAGCCGGACGCTGGAAAATGAGGTAAAAAGATTAAGTTTTGGTTATGATACCACAATAATAGAACACAGGCAATGTTCTAAAAATAACATTAATCTGATGTGTAATTATGCTTATTTTCAACAGATTGTGTAAAAAGTTTAGTAATAATACTCACGGGTAACTAATTCAAATCTAGCTTGGTCTGAGTTAACAGGGCAGGTTATAGTCTGCTTCAGAGAACCATCACCAAGATCTTCCTGTGCTATTGTCGCTCCATTTCCATCTGTATGGGAGGGTAGGTGAGTTTTGAAGTAAGAATTAAAATTTTTTGCAGATCTGGACTCAGATGCATGTTGCTGGGTTTATGTTGTTCTGCTCTGAACCTGGAACCCTTCAACCCTTAACTTGACTTAACCCCAATCGTAGATCTACCTCGGTACAAGTATTAAAGTTACCTAAAATCTTGGCAAAAATTCGGTCCAGAGAAAACAAAACCATAGCGTTATTAAATCCAATGCTTGCAGGGCGATTGTTGATATATCATTTTCAAAAAAGTTATATGATCTAGGGGGAGTATACCTGGATTTAATGATTTCCATGTGACATCAGCACAATTGAAATATGTTGTGACTGTCAATTCTTTCTCCGTTTTCTGAGCTGATCCGTAGTCAGCCTGAAATAATATGGCGAATCTCGATAAGAAAAATGGATACAAAGTGCTGAACTGCATTGTTTTATCAATCACGATTTATGCATTTTTAATAAATTATATTGATTGTTTACAAAAATATTGTAGTTGTAGTACCATACAGTATGGTCTATACTTAATTGGTATTTGACCGTTGTCCACTTCAAATTTTATAATGTTATTAATTCAATCTTTTCACAAATCTTTAATAAATTTTCTTTGAAATTTATTAAAGATCTGTAGTCGTTTTACATTTGGTTGCAATTAGCGAGCTCTGTTATCAGCTGAATTGTAACTTGCAATAAGAAGTGCTCGTCTTTTAGTGTGATCGTTGTGTAGCCTGTATACATTATACAAGATCTGTACATTGGAATATACACGATGCAACACTCATACCATGAACATACGAAGCATTTGATTGATGACTCCGATAATGAAGATCTGTTTAATGCCAGGCATGCAGATCAGGGAGCGACTAGCGAGAGCTACAAACAGTGTTTTTAATGAAATGTGCCACGAACTGGATGTTGAAACTGATCGCTTGTTCAGGTATTAAAAAACCTGAACAAGCGATCAGTTTCAAAAGAAAAACTGTGTGATTGGCTGCAAACTGTTTGTTTCATTCTGAATCGTTATGCAGCCCCTCATTTGTAAATGGTTGCGGAGAGAGTAGATAAACAAAACATTTCATTAATCGCGGAGCAAAAAACTATCATTGATTTGTAGAAGAAGCTCATTGAAAAGAAGGACGAAGAACTCAAGTCAGTCCAAACAACAGTGCAGACAGAAATGAAATCATATTCTTCTGCCCTGAAGAAGACTTGTGCTGCTGCTCTTACGCCAAAGAAGATATGTACTGCAGTTAAGACAATAGCTGAAAAGGATGAAAGAAGCAGAAACGTCGTTATCTATGGAATAAGTGAATCCGACGGTGAGAAGTTAGAAAAAAAAGTTGCTGAAGTTCTTGGTGAGATAAACGAGAAACCTTCATTTCGTGACTGTTGTAGTAAATGTAGAGTTGGTCTGAAGAGAGCCGACACATCACGACCTACTAAGCTATCTCTGAATAGCTCTGATATGGTTGCTCAGGTGCTGAGAAAAGCTAAACTTCTTCGCACAAAAGGGGGCTATAAAAGTATCTACATTTGCCCGGGCAGATCAGTGGAAGAAAGGAGAGCTTTCAAGAAGCTCTGGGAGGAATTGAAAGAGAAGAGGTAAGCAGAGCTAACAGAGTTCATTCCATAAGGAACAATATGATTGTCAGCTTCGATAAGAACAGTGTATCAGCCTCGTTTGAAGAAATTTGAACTGTTTCACATTCTTCACCACACATTTATTTGTTCACAATTTTGTTTCACATTTTTGTTATCATATCGGGGCCATGTAATTGCAGGCACATACCACATATCACTGTGCAGTACCGTGTTTGGTCTCCCGTCAGATTTTACAGACGGGGGCAATAATTTATTCGAGTTTATTTTATACGTTATAATTGCTGTACTCTGTAAAGTTTGAAAAGTAATAAACATTTTTTTTTAAATTGTCTTCTTACCAGACAGTTGACAACTTGTCCATTTCTCATCGCGTTAACCCTGAGAGTCTCTGTAGTGTATTCCGCAGTGTGTACTGAATCGACTGAAGTAACAGTTGCAGCCTTCACCAACTTAAAGAAGGTAGTGTCGAAATTGTTCTTCCCGCGGGTTGTGAAAGAGAAAGTAGGAGCAGTTTCTCCGGTTGCAGTACAGGTTAGAGTGATGGTTTCTCCAACCAGTGGGTCGGATTTAGAGGAAGTGAAGGATGTGATGGAAGCGATCTTCATGGTCAATTCTCCTGAAGTGACTGTACCTCCGTAGAAGTTGTTGGCTGCATCTGTTTGGTAGGCGATGTTACATCTTACTTTCAGATCGTTATCACCTTCCTCCAGGTTATTGAGAGACATAGGAGACAAACTTACTCCATCATCGCTTCTCATCGTTGTCTTAACCACGAATCTGGCGGTAAGTTTAAGATTTAGTTTTCGAATAAAATACACGAATTTCCATTCGGGAAGGTTTAAACTTAAGTTCAGCGACCACTCGCTTCAGCTTAGATTATGTAAGCAAACAAGCCACAACGCAGGGAGTTTATACCCCTAGAATTCAGCTGCTATCTTATTTAATGAAGTTTAAATGGTCATATTTCCAAGCATGCGCTCACCGAGAATTTGAAGCAGTTGATTTCCAAGATGTGTCTGAAGTGTCGAAAAACTCCCAACTTATTTGAGCATCGGTGTATGTCTTCTGCTTGTTGACCAAATACGGATCGCCGTTCGCGTTTGCTTTGAGCAAAGCATCTGAATAACATTTAAACTCCGCTACGTTACCAGCGAGGCCCCACACAGTTTCTGTTGAGCTCGTTATATCCAAAACAGATAAGAACACGTTACCTGATTCCACTCCGTTTTCACCCCAAGCTGCTTTGCAATAATACTCAATACCGTGCTCTGCAGCGGTGACACCAGCAATGGTCAATATTCCAGTGGTAGTCACAATGTCACCAGATGTAGCTTCAGTCACAACAACTGTACCAACTGACTCATCACTTATTGTCTTGTGGAAGGTGATTAACGCTGCGCTGTCACCGGAAGTTTTACAAGTGAACTTAGCCTCTCCTCCCTTGGCCACGTTGGTTGTTTCGGGTGGAGAAGAGATTTCTCGTACTGTTAGTGTGGCGGCTGCGGACTTTATGGATATTGTTCCCCATTTTATGGAACAGATATACTCTCCTGCTGCGTCCGAGTTTACCTGTAAAGTTAACAATTCAAATATCAGCAAAGGCTTAGTGATAATCCAGCTTTTAAATGCGTCTGAAAGTACGTCAAAGAAACCTCTGAAACGACAAATACTTTAAACAGCTATCTCAGATATCACTTGAAGGATTTGACTAACACTTCCGATGGTGAGGGTGGTTGAGATTTCATTTGCAACCGAGCTGTCGGATGCCTTTGTTCCATCGATTACTCTCTCATTTTGGTCATTGTACACATCTCCATTTCCTATCATCGGCTGCGATTATGGGATTAATTTGAGTGAGAAAAGTATTAGTGAAGGCACCGGATTTTATTTGTTGCAGTCACTTTAATATACCGCTAACATGAAACATGAGTTTGCCCATTAGATGTGATCAGTACTTCGGTAAACAATTTACATCAGATTTACGACGAGATTCGATATTTTCAGTTTTATTGTTGGTAAGATAATGTCAAAACTTACCCTAGCAACAGAATCCCCAGCACTTTTGAAAGACCACGTGATTTCGTTGTAATCAGCTCCGAATGGATTAGGGAACACGCATTCAAACACATGGCTTGCACCACCATAAGCGGTGGCACTAGCAGGGTTTGTTATCGGAGCTGCCGCTATGATTGACACGGCAACCGGTTCCGAGTCAAAAGTTTCCTCGGTAGGGCAGAAGTCGTCGTATTGCACCGCACGACACGTGTATGACCCTGCGCTGTCGTCAGCGATGTCAAAAGTTATTTTGGAAACCAAGTCGTCTGATTCTGACACTTTTATTCGTTCGTAATCTTGCTCCTCGATCAGCTTGACCGCTCCCTTGTACCTAAAATTAAGAAAATGGATGGAATGTTATAGCACATCGGAGGACGAACATATTGAAACCTGAAATTTGAATCAAATTTAAATTATGAAGGATCTGAATAGTTCTGAAACAAGTTCTACACTAACCAGTCCAAGGACCGTGCACCAGAGGCAACAGTACAAGTCAGAGTTATAGAAGACTGGACGATGAGATTTGCATTTAGACCAGCTGATGATTCGATGACAGCCTCTGAATTAAAGTTTGTTATTACTGCGCTAAGATCATTCAAGGTTAATAAGCAAGCTTAATGCTTAATTTCTGGAGTCAACATTTTGCGGAGAAGCAAATGGAAATTATATAAACATTTCAGTGTTTACTTACTCCTTGCAGTTAGTCTCTGAATGAACTCCACAGTCTTCCCTCCTGTTAAAGTGAAGGTACACTTGTACGAACCACTGGACGCTTCACTTACACTAGATACAGCGTAACTACCCGTTTGGGAACCTGCCGTACTGGCATCCCCTCCAGCGCTGAATTCAGCCAATACTCCAGCAACAACTGAGTCGTCTGGTAGAGTAAAGGAAACAGCAGTGGCAGCACTACTACCATGGTAAGCACAGGTAAGGGTCTTGCTGGTTTCGGTTCGGATGTCCACAAACTCACATTCATTGTTGGTAATTTTAGCAGACACGACCTCTATTGTTGATTGCACATTATTACCGTCCCCAAAAATGAAGCTACAGATGTAACTATCCTCGTCAGCAAAATCGAAGCTTTTTATAGTTATGTTGCTGAAAAACTTTACGCTACTTTCCAGTTGTTTGGTATTCGTGTTTTCTATCTTAGTGGATCCATCGAACACGATATTATCGCCACCTTTAGTCCATGTCACTCCAGAGGGAACCTTTTCACCTTCCATAAGGCATCTGGCAGAAAGTTCATCACCAGTTACAACTATGGTGGATTCAGCAGTGCCCGCTCTGTCGACTGATGATGATTTTCGCACCACAACCTCCGTGCTTGCTCGCAGACTGTCCCCGTCTGTGAACGACAGAACACAGCTGTACGACCCCGCATTTTCAGGAGGAGTAACGTCAGTAATTGTCAGAGTGTACTGCTGAGCATTGCTCTGCAGGGAACCAGGGTTGATGGTGATAGCATCATCAGCAGCATCTTCCAGTTTCTGGCTATTATAGTACCACTCCATGGTGCCACTCGTTGTACCCTCGTAGTTGCACGTGATCTTTATTGAACCGTCAGTGCTGTATACCGTTGTAGAGGGAGTGGTCAGTACTGAAATTGTTTCAATTTGTAATATGATTGAATTGTTTTAACTTTTAAAGCAGAAAATTCTGGAACGATATAGAAATTATAAAAATCATGACAAGGATCACAACTCATGAGGAACGCTATGTTAAATACAGAATTACTTACATCGAACAGAGACTACCATTGTTGACTTAGGATTGAAATTTTCGGTGGTCCATTTGCAGGTGTAGTCGCCACTGTCAGTAACTTCAACATTCTCTACAGTGATAACGCTAGTCTTCGTTCTGGAGGCCTCATTGAAGTTGCCAGTGGTAATGGTGTACTTAGCATCACTATTGCTGATTAGGTTTTCAGCATCGTCTGTTGAACTCTGAGATCGTAGCTCTTTATGGTCATGGTTTTAACGATTCAATGAAACAAAAACAAAAACAAAAGAAAAAGTAGTTTTTTCACAAGATATCTTCCCAAGATATTTTAGATTTTCAGTTTATTTCGGTTTAATTATAAATTAATATCGGCGTATTCATTTACCCTGAACCATTCGATCTTCTGCGGGTCATCCAAACCGTTGTACACGCATGAGAACTGGACAGTTTTCTCGTGGACGAAATATGGTGTTGCTGGTTCGAAACTTGCAGCTGAAAATCACATCACTTAGCAGTGAAATTATTGGATGTATATCGAAATATATATGTCAATTTGATTGTTTTCAATCGAACAATTGAAAACAATCAAATTTGCGGGCAAACGATCCGTTTCATATGTATAAAACAATACCAATATATAAATATGATGTTTAGCAACATGATGGATAGATGTTTGAATATCACTGATAATCAACTTACAGAGCTTGTTAAGAGTTGTGACGACATTAACGGGGGTTTCGTTTTCCACAAACACAACTGAGCAGGTGTACTTTCCTTGATCCCCAAACGTCATCTTTTTAACAGTCAGCGTGTGGGTGTAAGTAATGCCTTCTGTTATACTGTCTGCGATTTCTGTCTGAAAGTTGGGTCATTTCGTTAAACTAAAAGTTGGAAGATATCAAAAAAGATAATCAAAATCATGCTCAAAAATCGTTCATTGAGATCATTAATTCTCGGCTATCTATGGCAGTTACCTCATCAGGTTGGTTGGTGATAGCATCACCCCTTTCGTTAGACCACGTGACAGAGTGTGGGGGTGAATCACCCCACACCACACAACTTATTACTCCGTCTCCAGAGGAACCGGTGCTGAACGTGTACTCATCCACGGCTACTCCAACGGCGTTAACGTCAGACGTCGACTCGATCGACTTTCCATTTAAGCCACTCCAGGTAGCGATACATTTGAACTGAGCGTCGAAAGTTGGTTTGTTGGTTGTTATTGTCAACTTGCTGATCTTGGTGGTGGTGGAGCTGCTGTCTGACTCATCTGTTAGGGTCACGTGCTTTACCTCATCATCTACTAGTACATTTCCTGTTGAGTAGTGGTATCGTTCTTTAGTGTGTAATTTCAATTAGCACGAGAAAAAGAATACTTGCATTTCAGCGTTGACAAAACTGACTGGTCATAAATTTTATGTATCGTTCGTATCACATTCAGAGGAGCGAGTTGCAAGGTGTAAATTACAAAGGGACGAGTTGCAATGTGTACATTACATTGAATGTGAGCAACAGGAGATCGTTAGAAACAAACCTATCTTCCAAGACAACGTAAGTAATCCCTTGTCTTCGCCCAAAGCAGAGCACAAGAATTCTTTCGGGATGTCAGCGTTGCGGAATGTTGTTGAGGCTGGAAGGCTCTCAACAAACTCTGGGATGGGCATTAAGGTTACTAAATACTAGCAGGAACCCGTATAATATAACCCTAAACGGTGTCAAGACTCAAAATACTAAAATAATTATTACCTATTTAATCGGCGTTTTTGACACCACTTGGGGGCCCAAATTTTCGGCTCTAAAATCATTATTCCTTGGCCAATTTTTTATTTTTTCATGCTGATTTGAAGGCCATTAAAGCATTTGACCCAGCCAAAAAAGTTCCAGTTGTATATCTTTTACAGTTTTTGCGGAAAGTCGCGTTAAAGTTGATGCCGTGGTGTCAGTAAAATGGCACAGATATATATATATATCGTCTCGCTTTATATATAGTAAGATAAACAACTTCTTAAGATTAGGTTCAATACAGCTATGAAAATAAATTCATATTTACTTATTTATGATTAAAATCTTCAAGTTAAATGAGAGTTAGATATCACTAAATCTGCAGCAATATCGAAGCATAAACTTAAATGAGACAATGAATAAGAGAAGAAAACAAATAGAAAAACCTCTCTTGTAGATGTTGGTTGTAACCGTGTCGAAGGTTGAATCAGTGGCGTCTCCGAAAGACACTGTTCCTCGAACTGTGAACGGCGACATAGATATTTCAAACCCGCTCATATCGAACGCCAGATTAAAGGTCTTTTTGGACCCAGACCATGCCGATGAAATTGTTGGGGTCAAATGGGGATTATCTTGAGAACTGTACGCCTGTCCTCCAATGAACCAAATTATTTGTGGCTCATAACGTCCTTCCACTGTCACCGCTATACTCGTGGGACTGTAGTACACAGTATCCATTGTAGATAGCGCTGCAATTAGAGGTTATAAAAACAAAGATACATTTAAAATAAATGTAAATATCGAGTTAACAAGGGTATTCCACACTTTTACGATATCCACCATGATTGAAATGTCAAATGTAGCTACTACATCTCTCATAAGAGGATCGTGCATGACGTATGCTTAAAATGCCCCCTCCAAATACCATAGCCGGCAAATTGATAAACTATCGGTGGTCACATAACGCACGGTTAACGCACGGTTAACGCACGGTTAACGCACGGTTAACGCACGGTTAACGCACGGTTAACGCACGGTTAACGCACGGTTAACGCACACTTAGATGTGTTAAAATATTATTACATGTAATTGTAACCAGGAGTCGACCGGGATCGGAATTTTGTCCCAGCCGGGACCGGGATGAAACTGAAATCACAGCCGGAACCGGGATCAGCTTAATCCCGGCTGGGACCGGGACAGGGAACGGGATTTTCACGATATTTCTATGTTCAAATGGAACATATTAAGCAACCTTCGTATAAAGGGTCTATTGACCAATTATATTACATCTTCGGATTTAGATGGGCCTGAAATCTAATCAATCCTTCGAGATTCGATTTTCATTTCGATTAACCCATTAGGGACGATAGGGTCGTTTACGACCCACCTTTTCTAGAGGCTATAGAGGACAAACCAAAATACTAAACGCCACGAATCTTTCGCACATATGCTCAAAATTTATTGGGCTACATTATTGACTTTCCAATCGAGACTCAATTAATCACTAACAATTAAATAATTAGACTAATTAGTCATCATAATTGGAAAATATTTCACTTAACTTCTTGCCTTGATTGGGACATTAAAACTTTATGTAGGCTTATTTTTTTGAGAACAAAATAGTTGCGGGCAACGATTTCCTTGGCACAAATGAAAAACCCGTGATAATCAAATGTTCACAAACAGAGCTAGACGCTGTTTACTAACTGCGGTCGCATACGACCCACTCGTCCGGGTCGCAAACGACCCATCACGGTTTTTCGGCTATTACTTCTGAAACAAAGACGTTAGGATAAAATAAAAACTGTAGCATAAGTTAAAAACATATAGTCAATACTGTGTGACTCTAACTTTTCAAATATAGAGAATTTGGGTCATTAACGACCCACTCGGCTAACTTGCTTATTACTACATATGTCCATGTAACTTCTTGAATTCAGCCTAAAACATTTCATCATAAGTGCAAAATCGCCTCTCAGCAAGTGATTATCATCATAAACTGCGAAAAATCGGTTAAATGGGTCATTAGCGACCCACTAGGACCACAAAATTGATTAATTAAATATAATGTTGTCAAACTTTTACAAATATTAGTATAAAAACATATTATATCTTGGTCATTACTCCTGTACGTTGATTTAACTTTTAAAATCGATCAACTGGGTCAATAACGACCCACTCGGAAGTTGAACCACTTCATTAATTATCATGCTGTTCCACCATCAAGAAAGACACTCGTAGGTCTTAATTCCAGACAAACCACGGTGGCTGACAACTAGCCCTTCTGAGATCCAGGGCCAACTGAACGGCAGTCATCACTCATCAAAGAGCTGCGAGAATAACACGACTGTATATGCCTGGAGTTGCGTCCTGACTATGGTGTGTGGAAATCTGTACCGAAAGGACCGTGGCCGTGTCGCAAAAGAAAAGGAGATCGGCCCTCGTTCCTAACTTGCTAGGTAATAGCCATGCTGTTGTTGTTGCTTATTAGATTCTGTTACCTTTTTCGTCAATTTCGAATCTTGGTAAACGACCTGCTACAACTCACCGCTTGAGACCCAGGGTCCCACGGTGTTCAGATCATGTCACTCAAGAAAAATCCCCTGAACGAAGTTTACGAGATATCCTGTAACCTTGGGTAAATACTGAAAGAAGAGCGGTCAAATTGCATATTCTAATCCAACATGCCAATCTGTTTGACATTCCTAGAAAGTACAAGAATAACTAAACAACTGCTGCATTCAGATGGCTAAATCTACAGCTCTGTGAAGAAGGACAAGGAAAAAGCCCCCCCCCCCCCCCCATCTGGCTGGCGGTGCTGCAACCTGCAATCTCTCAGACAACTACTTCGTTGTGGGTAACAACCCCGCAACAACGAGGCAGCTTTCAAAACGAAACCAAGTATTACGTAATCGGCCGAGAGGGAGGGGGGTTTCCAAATGATTAAGCTTGTGTAATTTTGACATAATAGCTATATGGTGGGGTGTGGGGGGGGGCCGGGGCTTAAAATTGTCCAATAAGTGATTACGTAATATTATGTCAATGTGAACGGCCCCTAAGAAGTAAAGAAAGGAAGCTGTGAAATGAGTAGATGCAGCCATCTGAAATCTGAATCCAGCAGTTGTATAGTTCTTCTTGGACTTTTTAGGAATCGGGAAAAGATAGGCAAGTTGTTTGTTGTCTCACGACATTACGGTCGTGTACTAACAGCTGATAAACTCACCTACCTATCAATCCAATTCTGCCCATTATTCGTCAGTGATTGGGTGACGTGATCTGCAGATCACTTTGAGACTCCAGATCTCAGGAGGACTAGTGGTCATCCACCCGTGGTTTGCGTGGAATTAAGACCTACGAGTGTCTTTCTTGGTGGTGGAACAGCATGATACTGATAATTAATGACGTGGCTCAACTTCCGAGTGGGTCGTTATTGACCCAGTTGATCGATTTTAAAAGTTAAATCAACGTACAGGAGTAATGACCAAGATATAACATGTTTTTATACTAATATTTGTAATAGTTTGACAACATTATATTTAATTAATCAATTTTGTGGTCCTACTGGGTCGCTAATGACCCATTTAACTGATTTTTCGCAGTTTATGATGATAATCACTTGCTGAGAGGCGATTTTGCACTTATGATGAAATGTTTTAGGCTGAATTCAAGAAGTTACATGGACAAATGTAGTAATAAGCAAGTGAGCCGAGTGGGTCGTTAATGACCCAAATTCTCTATTTTTGAAAAGTTAGAGTCACACAGTATTGACTATATGTTTTTAACTTATGCTACAGTTTTTATTTTATCCTAACGTCTTTGTTTCAGAAGTAATAGCCGAAAAACCGTGATGGGTCGTTTGCGACCCGGACGAGTGGGTCGTATGCGACCATAGCTGTATCTTTTAAAGTAAACGAGATACAGATTAGCTTTTTTGGATATCTCATTTTTGCTGTAATGTGACCTAGCGTGTTAAACGGCATCAAAATCGGCAAACTTTAAAACTCGTCGTCCCTAATGGGTTAAGTCGATTCTTACAGGTCGTTTCATTTGTCTAAGTCAAAGTAATAAAATATGAATCGGAACATAAATTGGATTAAAAAGATCGGCCAGGACTGGAAAAAAATCCCGGCCGGGACCGGGAAAAAACACCAAATGCCAGAAGGTATCCCGGCTTCACCAGGATCCCGGTCAAAGCTTTGGTTATAGCTAATATAACCTATTCCTAAATCAAGATAGATTACTGCTGCAAAATTCGAATAAGACAGCTCGTTATACACATTGTGGTTCTCAAAATGTATCAATATTACTCACTGAAAACGTTAGAGTTTACATCAGTCGTATGTGGAGACGCTGATGTTTTTCCATGCTCCTCAGATTGAATGACACAGGTGAAAACAGCATCAACCGTGTTTTCACCAGCAGGTACGGTCAGAATTGTAGTTTGACTGTTTGTACTAGAATCGTAACTTCCAGCGGCAATCTGATAACCTCCAGTATCGTGAGTTATAGCACCACCCGAACTAGGTTTCTGCCATGTTACCGCCTCCAGCTGCTTAGTCAAACCACCTACTACACAAGATATTGTAGCTTCTGTGCTTGCCAGCACTTCACTACCCTTAGCTTCTACACCTGAAACAATCAGTCATTTAAAATAAGCCCGCAATAAAAAATATCAATAGTATTATTATACAGGAACTGAATCATTGAACTTTCTAAACTAAATTCACTGGATCCTATGATGTGTTGCATTTTGTTTTAACAGTAGGATGTAACAAGTTATCTTAGATATAAAGTTAAAACAGCAGACCATCATTTATGGGGAGTTATAAATACCCACCAAGTCCTAAGAAACTTACCGAAAGTAAGGAAGCTGACAACAATGTCTTTGAAAGTAGATGTTGCTGAATCCGAATATTCTTTAGATTCTGCAGCACATGTGTATGTCACGGGTGACCCATTTGCACCGCCAGCTACACTTGTAAGAGTGTCAACATCAATGGTCAGCGTTGATGTCTGAATTTTGGTACCAGAGTCAGCTGATCCCTGTGCGATGGTGTACCCTCCACTACCAGTTGCTATATCATTCTCACCATTATCCTTCCACGACACAGTGACATCTGTAGCCACATCTCCGATGTTACAAGTCAGTGTCTGAGCCACAGCGGTGGTGGCTTGTTTAGGAGTAACTGGATCGACGGCTGAAATAATTTGATTCTTTCAAACTCACAAAACATTTGATATGTTAAAATATCATTACATGTAGTTGTAACTAAAATAGCCTAAATCAAGAAAGATTACTGCTGCAAAATTCGAATAAGACAGCTCGTTATACACATTGTGGTTCTCAAAATGTATCAATATTACTCACTGAAAACGTTAGAGTTTACATCAGTCGTATGTGGAGACGCTGATGTTTTTCCATGCTCCTCAGATTGAATGACACAGGTGAAAACAGCATCAACCGTGTTTTCACCAGCAGGTACGGTCAGAATTGTAGTTTGACTGTTTGTACTAGAATCGTAACTTCCAGCGGCAATCTGATAACCTCCAGTATCGTGAGTTATAGCACCACCCGAACTAGGTTTCTGCCATGTTACCGCCTCCAGCTGCTTAGTCAAACCACCTACTACACAAGATATTGTAGCTTCTGTGCTTGCCAGCACTTCACTACCCTTAGCTTCTACACCTGAAACAATCAGTCATTTAAAATAAGCCCGCAATAAAAAATATCAATAGTATTATTATACAGGAACTGAATCATTGAACTTTCTAAACTAAATTCACTGGATCCTATGATGTGTTGCATTTTGTTTTAACAGTAGGATGTAACAAGTTATCTTAGATATAAAGTTAAAACAGCAGACCATCATTTATGGGGAGTTATAAATACCCACCAAGTCCTAAGAAACTTACCGAAAGTAAGGAAGCTGACAACAATGTCTTTGAAAGTAGATGTTGCTGAATCCGAATATTCTTTAGATTCTGCAGCACATGTGTATGTCACGGGTGACCCATTTGCACCGCCAGCTACACTTGTAAGAGTGTCAACATCAATGGTCAGCGTTGATGTCTGAATTTTGGTACCAGAGTCAGCTGATCCCTGTGCGATGGTGTACCCTCCACTACCAGTTGCTATATCATTCTCACCATTATCCTTCCACGACACAGTGACATCTGTAGCCACATCTCCGATGTTACAAGTCAGTGTCTGAGCCACAGCGGTGGTGGCTTGTTTAGGAGTAACTGGATCGACGGCTGAAATAATTTGATTCTTTCAAACTCACAAAACATTTGATATGTTAAAATATCATTACATGTAGTTGTAACTAAAATAGCCTAAATCAAGAAAGATTACTGCTGCAAAATTCGAATAAGACAGCTCGTTATACACATTGTGGTTCTCAAAATGTATCAATATTACTCACTGAAAACGTTAGAGTTTACATCAGTCGTATGTGGAGACGCTGATGTTTTTCCATGCTCCTCAGATTGAATGACACAGGTGAAAACAGCATCAACCGTGTTTTCACCAGCAGGTACGGTCAGAATTGTAGTTTGACTGTTTGTACTAGAATCGTAACTTCCAGCGGCAATCTGATAACCTCCAGTATCGTGAGTTATAGCACCACCCGAACTAGGTTTCTGCCATGTTACCGCCTCCAGCTGCTTAGTCAAACCACCTACTACACAAGATATTGTAGCTTCTGTGCTTGCCAGCACTTCACTACCCTTAGCTTCTACACCTGAAACAATCAGTCATTTAAAATAAGCCCGCAATAAAAAATATCAATAGTATTATTATACAGGAACTGAATCATTGAACTTTCTAAACTAAATTCACTGGATCCTATGATGTGTTGCATTTTGTTTTAACAGTAGGATGTAACAAGTTATCTTAGATATAAAGTTAAAACAGCAGACCATCATTTATGGGGAGTTATAAATACCCACCAAGTCCTAAGAAACTTACCGAAAGTAAGGAAGCTGACAACAATGTCTTTGAAAGTAGATGTTGCTGAATCCGAATATTCTTTAGATTCTGCAGCACATGTGTATGTCACGGGTGACCCATTTGCACCGCCAGCTACACTTGTAAGAGTGTCAACATCAATGGTCAGCGTTGATGTCTGAATTTTGGTACCAGAGTCAGCTGATCCCTGTGCGATGGTGTACCCTCCACTACCAGTTGCTATATCATTCTCACCATTATCCTTCCACGACACAGTGACATCTGTAGCCACATCTCCGATGTTACAAGTCAGTGTCTGAGCCACAGCGGTGGTGGCTTGTTTAGGAGTAACTGGATCGACGGCTGAAATAATTTGATTCTTTCAAACTCACAAAACATTTGATATGTTAAAATATCATTACATGTAGTTGTAACTAAAATAGCCTAAATCAAGAAAGATTACTGCTGCAAAATTCGAATAAGACAGCTCGTTATACACATTGTGGTTCTCAAAATGTATCAATATTACTCACTGAAAACGTTAGAGTTTACATCAGTCGTATGTGGAGACGCTGATGTTTTTCCATGCTCCTCAGATTGAATGACACAGGTGAAAACAGCATCAACCGTGTTTTCACCAGCAGGTACGGTCAGAATTGTAGTTTGACTGTTTGTACTAGAATCGTAACTTCCAGCGGCAATCTGATAACCTCCAGTATCGTGAGTTATAGCACCACCCGAACTAGGTTTCTGCCATGTTACCGCCTCCAGCTGCTTAGTCAAACCACCTACTACACAAGATATTGTAGCTTCTGTGCTTGCCAGCACTTCACTACCCTTAGCTTCTACACCTGAAACAATCAGTCATTTAAAATAAGCCCGCAATAAAAAATATCAATAGTATTATTATACAGGAACTGAATCATTGAACTTTCTAAACTAAATTCACTGGATCCTATGATGTGTTGCATTTTGTTTTAACAGTAGGATGTAACAAGTTATCTTAGATATAAAGTTAAAACAGCAGACCATCATTTATGGGGAGTTATAAATACCCACCAAGTCCTAAGAAACTTACCGAAAGTAAGGAAGCTGACAACAATGTCTTTGAAAGTAGATGTTGCTGAATCCGAATATTCTTTAGATTCTGCAGCACATGTGTATGTCACGGGTGACCCATTTGCACCGCCAGCTACACTTGTAAGAGTGTCAACATCAATGGTCAGCGTTGATGTCTGAATTTGGTACCAGAGTCAGCTGATCCCTGTGCGATGGTGTACCCTCCACTACCAGTTGCTATATCATTCTCACCATTATCCTTCCACGACACAGTGACATCTGTAGCCACATCTCCGATGTTACAAGTCAGTGTCTGAGCCACAGCGGTGGTGGCTTGTTTAGGAGTAACTGGATCGACGGCTGAAATAATTTGATTCTTTCAAACTCACAAAACATTTGATATGTTAAAATATCATTACATGTAGTTGTAACTAAAATAGCCTAAATCAAGAAAGATTACTGCTGCAAAATTCGAATAAGACAGCTCGTTATACACATTGTGGTTCTCAAAATGTATCAATATTACTCACTGAAAACGTTAGAGTTTACATCAGTCGTATGTGGAGACGCTGATGTTTTTCCATGCTCCTCAGATTGAATGACACAGGTGAAAACAGCATCAACCGTGTTTTCACCAGCAGGTACGGTCAGAATTGTAGTTTGACTGTTTGTACTAGAATCGTAACTTCCAGCGGCAATCTGATAACCTCCAGTATCGTGAGTTATAGCACCACCCGAACTAGGTTTCTGCCATGTTACCGCCTCCAGCTGCTTAGTCAAACCACCTACTACACAAGATATTGTAGCTTCTGTGCTTGCCAGCACTTCACTACCCTTAGCTTCTACACCTGAAACAATCAGTCATTTAAAATAAGCCCGCAATACAAAATATCAATAGTATTATTATACAGGAACTGAATCATTGAACTTTCTAAACTAAATTCACTGGATCCTATGATGTGTTGCATTTTGTTTTAACAGTAGGATGTAACAAGTTATCTTAGATATAAAGTTAAAACAGCAGACCATCATTTATGGGGAGTTATAAATACCCACCAAGTCCTAAGAAACTTACCGAAAGTAAGGAAGCTGACAACAATGTCTTTGAAAGTAGATGTTGCTGAATCCGAATATTCTTTAGATTCTGCAGCACATGTGTATGTCACGGGTGACCCATTTGCACCGCCAGCTACACTTGTAAGAGTGTCAACATCAATGGTCAGCGTTGATGTCTTAATTTTGGTACCAGAGTCAGCTGATCCCTGTGCGATGGTGTACCCTCCACTACCAGTTGCTATATCATTCTCACCATTATCCTTCCACGACACAGTGACATCTGTAGCCACATCTCCGATGTTACAAGTCAGTGTCTGAGCCACAGCGGTGGTGGCTTGTTTAGGAGTAACTGGATCGACGGCTGAAATAATTTGATTCTTTCAAACTCACAAAACATTTGATATGTTAAAATATCATTACATGTAGTTGTAACTAAAATAGCCTAAATCAAGAAAGATTACTGCTGCAAAATTCGAATAAGACAGCTCGTTATAATACACATTGTGGTTCTCAAAATGTATCAATATTACTCACTGAAAACGTTAGAGTTTACATCAGTCGTATGTGGAGACGCTGATGTTTTTCCATGCTCCTCAGATTGAATGACACAGGTGAAAACAGCATCAACCGTGTTTTCACCAGCAGGTACGGTCAGAATTGTAGTTTGACTGTTTGTACTAGAATCGTAACTTCCAGCGGCAATCTGATAACCTCCAGTATCGTGAGTTATAGCACCACCCGAACTAGGTTTCTGCCATGTTACCGCCTCCAGCTGCTTAGTCAAACCACCTACTACACAAGATATTGTAGCTTCTGTGCTTGCCAGCACTTCACTACCCTTAGCTTCTACACCTGAAACAATCAGTCATTTAAAATAAGCCCGCAACAAAAAATATCAATAGTATTATTATACAGGAACTGAATCATTGAACTTTCTAAACTAAATTCACTGGATCCTATGATGTGTTGCATTTTGTTTTAACAGTAGGATGTAACAAGTTATCTTAGATATAAAGTTAAAACAGCAGACCATCATTTATGGGGAGTTATAAATACCCACCAAGTCCTAAGAAACTTACCGAAAGTAAGGAAGCTGACAACAATGTCTTTGAAAGTAGATGTTGCTGAATCCGAATATTCTTTAGATTCTGCAGCACATGTGTATGTCACGGGTGACCCATTTGCACCGCCAGCTACACTTGTAAGAGTGTCAACATCAATGGTCAGCGTTGATGTCTGAATTTTGGTACCAGAGTCAGCTGATCCCTGTGCGATGGTGTACCCTCCACTACCAGTTGCTATATCATTCTCACCATTATCCTTCCACGACACAGTGACATCTGTAGCCACATCTCCGATCTTACAAGTCAGTGTCTGAGCCACAGCGGTGGTGGCTTGTTTAGGAGTAACTGGATCGACGGCTGAAATAATTTGATTCTTTCAAACTCACAAAACATTTGATATGTTAAAATATCATTACATGTAGTTGTAACTAAAATAGCCTAAATCAAGAAAGATTACTGCTGCAAAATTCGAATAAGACAGCTCGTTATACACATTGTGGTTCTCAAAATGTATCAATATTACTCACTGAAAACGTTAGAGTTTACATCAGTCGTATGTGGAGACGCTGATGTTTTTCCATGCTCCTCAGATTGAATGACACAGGTGAAAACAGCATCAACCGTGTTTTCACCAGCAGGTACGGTCAGAATTGTAGTTTGACTGTTTGTACTAGAATCGTAACTTCCAGCGGCAATCTGATAACCTCCAGTATCGTGAGTTATAGCACCACCCGAACTAGGTTTCTGCCATGTTACCGCCTCCAGCTGCTTAGTCAAACCACCTACTACACAAGATATTGTAGCTTCTGTGCTTGCCAGCACTTCACTACCCTTAGCTTCTACACCTGAAACAATCAGTCATTTAAAATAAGCCCGCAATACAAAATATCAATAGTATTATTATACAGGAACTGAATCATTGAACTTTCTAAACTAAATTCACTGGATCCTATGATGTGTTGCATTTTGTTTTAACAGTAGGATGTAACAAGTTATCTTAGATATAAAGTTAAAACAGCAGACCATCATTTATGGGGAGTTATAAATACCCACCAAGTCCTAAGAAACTTACCGAAAGTAAGGAAGCTGACAACAATGTCTTTGAAAGTAGATGTTGCTGAATCCGAATATTCTTTAGAATCTGCAGCACATGTGTATGTCACGGGTGACCCATTTGCACCGCCAGCTACACTTGTAAGAGTGTCAACATCAATGGTCAGCGTTGATGTCTGAATTTTGGTACCAGAGTCAGCTGATCCCTGTGCGATGGTGTACCCTCCACTACCAGTTGCTATATCATTCTCACCATTATCCTTCCACGACACAGTGACATCTGTAGCCACATCTCCGATGTTACAAGTCAGTGTCTGAGCCACAGCGGTGGTGGCTTGTTTAGGAGTAACTGGATCGACGGCTGAAATAATTTGATTCTTTCAAACTCACAAAACATTTGATATGTTAAAATATCATTACATGTAGTTGTAACTAAAATAGCCTAAATCAAGAAAGATTACTGCTGCAAAATTCGAATAAGACAGCTCGTTATAATACACATTGTGGTTCTCAAAATGTATCAATATTACTCACTGAAAACGTTAGAGTTTACATCAGTCGTATGTGGAGACGCTGATGTTTTTCCATGCTCCTCAGATTGAATGACACAGGTGAAAACAGCATCAACCGTGTTTTCACCAGCAGGTACGGTCAGAATTGTAGTTTGACTGTTTGTACTAGAATCGTAACTTCCAGCGGCAATCTGATAACCTCCAGTATCGTGAGTTATAGCACCACCCGAACTAGGTTTCTGCCATGTTACCGCCTCCAGCTGCTTAGTCAAACCACCTACTACACAAGATATTGTAGCTTCTGTGCTTGCCAGCACTTCACTACCCTTAGCTTCTACACCTGAAACAATCAGTCATTTAAAATAAGCCCGCAATACAAAATATCAATAGTATTATTATACAGGCTCAGGCCTGCTATCCATGGCATACCAGTATTATCACTCCTATCTATAAATCAGGCAACCCCTTCAGCCCAGACAATTACAGAGCAATAGCAGTTGGCAGTTGTATGGGTAAGCTGTTCTCTAGCATCTTACTTGAACGTCTGTTACACTTCAAAAAGCTCTACTGTCCTGACCCAAAAGAACAGCTTGGATTTTCGAAAGGTGCCCAAACTAACGATCACGTTTTCACCCTCAAGACAGTAATTGACAAATACACAAAAGCTAAAAAGGCTCGTCTTTATGCATGCTTTGTTGATCTAAGAAAGGCCTTTGACACTGTATGTAGGGACCTCCTTCTGCACAAAATTACATGCCTTGGAATAACCGGTAACTTCTTCAACTGCCTAAGTGATATGTACAGAAACTCTATTGCCCATATAAAAATTTCCAAACTCTTGTCGCCTAAAATTGATATTGGCAAAGGAACGGAGCAAGGACACCCCCTATCGCCAGACCTCTTTAAAATCTACATTAATGACTTTTCATCTCTCCTGAAATCTGTTGGTGACTATCCAGTTCTTGCTGACGTTCTGATATCACATCTGCTGTGGGCTGACGATCTTGTCCTTCTTGCTCTAAGTCCCGAGGCCTTGCAAGTCAATATCAACATTCTATTTGATTTCTGTAACTCCATGGGCCTTGAAGTAAATATTAAGAAAACTAAGATTGTAATATTCAGCCCTCCCAAACGAAAGCAGTCCTATGAAACATTCACATTGGGAGGTCAGCCCATCCAGCACACCGATAAATACTGCTATCTTGGCATAATATTCCACAGAAATGGATCGTTTACAGCAGCAAATACTGAGCTGAGGGCCAAGGCTCTCCGTGCTCTCTATGGCCTCAAAGGCAAAATAGTTAAGGATGCCCTCTCACACCGTGCCCTTAATATTCTATTTGACTCCTTAATAAAACCAATCCTGCTTTATGGCTGTCAAGTCTTATGCCCCCACTCAAAAACCATGAGATACCTTTCAAAAATAGATGACAAAGCCAACCCCCAGCATACCTTGAAGTACATTGCACAAGACCACTATGAAAAATTCCACC